GCCAGGCTAATATTTCCATCATGAAATGTCAAACAATACTGAACCAAAGCGAAATGTCAGTTTGACAGTATTCATTTACGATTTCCCATCAAATCCCCACCAAAAAAGTACTGTAGAACATCAGTGTAACTTTGGGATTAGTACCTTATCTCCTGCAAGTAACGTATTTAAGAAGATTTATGCCGTTGTAACACCTTCTTCAATCCTTTTTTAAGATCATACCAAGATATACTCACTAACAACAGGTATAACGTCGTAAGCGCCTTTAAGGTCTAGAAATAAATATGCTAAAGATTTATTTTTAGAAAAATTCAGTTATAGGATATATGTTGTTAAATGACTTATTGCATCTAGTGTAATAAGACTGGATCGAAATCCATACCGAGTGCTTGTCAAAAGATTATAACCTTTGACTGTCTAGTTAAAACGATTTTTGATAATGATTTCGAAAGTTTTTGTTATACAATACAATAGAGAAATGGGTGGATAAGTCGGAAAGACAATTTTGTCTTGATAATGACGAGAGAATTTTAATCAAAATTAACATCAAATAATTATTTCGTCAAAATTATAATTAGTAGTGTAGTTTGAAATTGTAATATGTTTCATTTTTATGTTATTTAAATTCTTCATGTTTATCGAAATTAATGTATCAATTAGTAAACACGAGCAACAATTGTATTGAAAAATAAAATAAAATTTCAGAAAGATTGACTAAGCTCAGAGTTTTACTTTTATTAGCTAAAATAAATTGATTGCATTCCCAAAGAATAAAAACAGTTTATATAATTGAACAGACACGATATATGCCTAATTATATAATATATACAGATATATTAGTGATCAATGTAGTAGTGTTTGGGCTTTGGAAGACTGAGACCTCGGGAGCCATGAAGAAGACATCAAGAGGATGTCGAAAGCTCGGCGTAATGACATGGTTCATCCCGGAAGACTGTTGAGTTTAATATTAATTCTTGTAATAGTATTAATCTTAGCTCCAGGTTTAATTGTACTAACCACCCAAACAGCACAAGTACGTCCCATGGACGTCCAAAGGATGTACCTCATTAAATGTCCGGACATCCCACGGACATCCGTTTACATAATTTGGACGTCCCCGGGACGTCCAATAAGAACTAAATGTTACCAAAAAGTACGTCCCCTGGACGTCCCAGGGATGTTCATGGGGACGTACATAGTACATATACAGAACTTAATACGGACTTATATAGGACCTAAGAAGGATGTATTGGGGACATCTATTGTACGTCCACATGGACTAATATAGGACCTAAATGAGGATGTATACAGGACCTAAAGGGAACTCCTTAAAATTAATAAAATGAAAAGCAAAAATAAATGGGAGTTTTATTGTGTACTTATATTAACATATGTATTTAAATTTATAGTATTTTTTAAGCACATTACTCCTACTTACTTTACAAATGTAGCAACACACCACAACCACAAAAATTACCTATAAAAGTCCTATATACCTACTGAATGTCTATAATAATAAATTACCAAACTATAAACTAGTATCGAAAGCAATAAACTAATTCTAATTACAAACACAATGATTATAATTCGAGAAATAAACGAGATAAATAGAAGCGTCGTTAAAACATAACCACATTCTTCTTTTATCTCCTAATTTTTAAATTTCAGTTCCACTACATAACAAAATTTTAGAGATACAGCTCTGCTATAGGATAAAGATTTTTCTCTAAAAGGAGCCTCTGTCTGTTTTCGTATAAATTAATGGTATTTAAAACTAAATATAACTTTTTAAAATTAAGTTTAGTAGGAAGATTATATTTTGTTAAAAATATGCTTAAGTAAAAAAATGACACAGTTAACGTCCCTAATACATCCCTAATGGGACGTCCCTTGGACGACCTTATGGGACGTCTCTGGTATGTCCGACTAGAAATATCCCTTGGACGTCCCTCGGACGTCCAAAAGAAGTCCCGGGACGTTTGGACCTTAAAACGACATAAAATGGACGTCCCAGGGATGTCCTGTGCTGTCTGGGCAGTAGGGCACGTAGAATTTTCCTCTGGGTAGGGGAGGGGTTTTGGTTGGGCACCGATTTTTTTTTTTATGATGCTACCTCCATTTTGAGTCCTTAAACTTTGTGAATAACAGTGTCGGAATAGGGTGCTGAAGGGGGGGGTTAACCCCCGTACCCCCCCTGAGTGCGCCATTGGTACTCTGCAGAAATCTTTCGGAACATTGTATTCGTCTCTTCGGGGAGGAATTTTACTATCTCACTAAATCATATAGTAATCTACTGCTACGTAAGAATCGTCTTTTTTGTGATTTGACATTCCTTAAAGTCTGCCGAGACCATAAAGTCATTTCCAAATTTCTAAAACTCAAACACCAAACTTCTTATATCTTCCAAATTTCCTAGAAGAAAACTAGATGTCATAAATATCAATATTTTCAATATCTGGTCATCTATTCATTCTTGCAATGTACATCCTATATTACGGGACAGTTTCGACCGTGTGACAACACACAGACAGCCTTTAACACTTTTGAATATCAGACTGAAACTCAGAAGCGCAAATTAGCACATCTAATTGCCGAGTAGATTCCAAAAACCACAACGTAAAAACCCACTACAAAGGTTCATAACTTTTCTGATACTCCTTATTTCGACCATTGCCACTCAAGCTTTAGCAAAAGGTTTTAATTACTCTGTAAAAAACCCTAAAGGCAATGCCACTGTCATCCTAAACGCTTCTTCTTACATTATTAAACTCTCAAATCTCATTAATACTCTAAACTACAGACCAATTTTTAATAATCCAACAACCTATCTGGAGAAAACAACAAAAACCATTATCAACAAAACCTCCCTTCCTGTTGACATAAAACAATCTCTGATTCATTGTGAAAAGTCTTGCAGAACACATATACCCAAAATTTACAAACCTCATATTCCTCAATTTGCCGAAAATGCTTCATATCAAAAATCCTTTTCATTTCATCGAAAATCCCCTATCTCTCCGTTAGACATTCTAATATAGTAAGATTCGATACTCTAATTATAGTAAGATTCGATATCGTTTCACTATTTTACGAATATGTAACATGCTTATTTGATTACAATTAAATCCGGAAGTTACAGTTTTTTGTTTATATTTAGGTGCATATTAAAAACAACCTGTTTATATTAAAGTGGTAAACCTATTTTACTAATTTTTAGTTTTTTGTATACCTACCTATATTTTTAATTATAACATGTATTTTAAAAATGTTTAATTCTATAAATAAGAAAGTTATTTCATGTGATGAATTGTGTTCCGCCATCTATCTGCTAACTGGCGAATCGCAGTGTATCAAGTAAACTCTGTCATCGAGTTTCCTTCTTTTATTTGAACTCTGTATTAAACAAATATTATTTTTCTTACACAAAATTTTATTTTGTTAGATTTTATCTAACCTGTTAATGTTGAGCTTTTTAAGATACTTTTCTACTCTACGAAGTATGTATAGTATTTTTATTAGATTATACAAATTAGGTATAAATGGCATAAGTAAATGAAACAAATTCGACAACTTAATGAACTGATTTTATTAAAAAACTGAAAAGAAGAAAATATTTATGTTATGTTGTGGTAGTAAAATTGACAATGGCACAATATTAAATCGACGAACAATATGAGGCTTTGTAAGTTGGTTGACAAGATCTGTTAGATATGTTCTTCGTTTGAGCATGGTGTTTATATAGCTGTAGTCAATAATTGGTAAATTTATGTCAGTAATATTAAGTATAAAACAAAAAATAGTTAAAGATCATCACTCTTGCAATAGAATTTCCTGCCTTTGTCCTATCCATCACTTCAACAGCTTCTTTCGAGATTTGAGATTGTAGAAAGTTATTACTGAAGGTTTCTTTGCATCACCTCTTTCTGGATTGATATTATCACATTAACAATATCAAAACATTTTTATTAGGTTTTTGGTATCTATGTGGGAAGATGGCATTTGTTGGAACCTACGACGCCCCTAGCAAAAATGGTACTGACCTATAGTAATCTGGTATCTAAAAAAAGCGTTTGTCATTACACTAACGTATTACGTTGCGTACGTACCAAATTATTAGCCAAACTCACTGAGTAAAGTAGTTGTCCAAAGTTTTGTCCAGTACCACTAAAATTGCAATACTATGAGCACAATTTTTTAGTTATTATGGACCAGTGGGTTGTATATCTGCATAAATTTCAATGTTTCAATGTCAAGTGTATAAAACATTCTTGAATCCATAACAGAGTAGGTACATTTTTATGCCACATTTGGCAGGTTTATTAGCTTCTTCTTCTTCCTCTTTATAAGCAATTCTGCTTGTTCATTAGCGGATTAATACCTCTATGGAAGATTGTCACTCCATCTTCTATTTTACATCTGGTTGGTTCTTTGCTGACTACTATTGTTTTAGTTTTCTGAGCCTGCAGTTTTGTTGGGTGGATCAAGTAGCTCGACAGAACTGTTGCAATCTGTCCCAAGCCCAGATAAAGGAGGAGGGGTCTACAGCCAGGTTAGCACCATACTGATAGACTTTAAAACCATACAGCTGAAAGAAACAAGATTATGCCTGGAAACAGGTTTATTAGTAATGTACTGAAATCTGTCCCTAAATCCTCCAACCATCTTATCTACTGATCTGTACTTATCAATCTTAGTAGTATTACAAGCACTTCTATAGAAAGTCATCTAAGAAGTATCGCACGGGCACCAAATAATCTTCCTGTACTCTAGATTCTATCAAACTATTATCAAACTTGTACTAGAGAGTGAAAACGACGTTGTGACATAGTAGCAACAAAGTATTCTGCAACTGTTCGGTATGTGCTCCAGTTTTGACGAATTTAATATTGGACTTTTTTACAGGATATAAAAAACTTACAAATGCATTTGTAAACCTATTTTGTAAATCTTTTTTTTTGTCTGTATTGTCTTTAGGATATGCGGGTAAATTAAATAAAATACTAAATACAAAAGGATATATTCAAAAGTAAAAATTTAACGTAATAAAGATATCAAAACAAAAGCCTTAAAATTAACTTCTTATTGCCTTATCGGCCTTTGGCAAGGACTCAAAATATCCCAGCCTTCTAAGACGCAATCTGCTCCAGACAATATAGTTAGTCATAGCGATGTTAGTCGCTGCACAAAGAGCTGCAGTTTCTGGATAGATGACTGTACTACATCCCAAACCCGAAGGCACATTAACGCTAGACCAAATGTCCCTCGACAAGTCATCTCGTGATCCAGGTGGGCAGTTAATAACGGGATAGTCTGTGTTTCCAGAGAGAACTGGGCCCAAACCGTTTGATCGTCCAGCTACAGCGATGAAGATAAGAGGAATGTTTAAGCCTTCGTAATAACTCACTATTTCAAGAGCATAATCAGTAGTTTTGTGTGCTGACGCTACTCTAATCTCAACATTAAGACCTAGATCTTCGCAGTGTTGCTTGATTTTATTGCAATGATCTTTATCGGCAGGGCTGCCCATAATAATGACCACAAGATGGTTGTTGGGAGGAATTAGATGGTCCAACTGATCGACAATCCATTCAAAGTTTCTTTTTACTGTATCCAGATCCTTGTCTGTTACTGTTGTTAGATTTCTGTAGACCTGTTTGTCTACCATCAGACGTTTGTCTCCAGAAGGCCAAAGACGCCAGGAGTCAGAATCTATAACGTCAGCTACCAGTAAGTTTCCTGTAAATAAAAATATTCAATTTGAAACTAACCGCAATAAAGAATTTGAACGTGATGGGATTTAGGAATGGTTCGGGAGATTTGGATGTGTACAGACCTCCGGATAGCTGGATAATATGGGTTGGAATGAAATTTAAATGGTTTTGAATGGCGAGGATTGATCTTGCGGAGTTCAACATCCACATCAGGAAAACATTTGAACTATTAAGCTGCATAACATTTTTATATTCCCTGTAACTTTTCTTAGGACTTTTATTTTCATAAATATAACTCTTTGTTCTGGTTGCACACCGGTTTTATTTAAGTTTTAATATTACATTATATAACTGAATTTAGGTACGTAAGAGCCAGTTCGGCCCTGTCTTGTACGTGGGGTTCAAAGCGCGCGAAACTATCAAAACTCAGCTTGCTATTAGAATAACACTGAAATGTTCTTGTGTTCTTGTAAATTTTACTATAGATAGATAATATGGGAAAAGTACAAAACAAATTCGAACATGCGAGTAAGAAACAAGATATGTTATCAATGTTTAAAAAAATGAATGTATCCCCTGCTAGCAACTGGATAAAAAGCAGTTGATAAAAGCTTAAAAATAATTTTATGAACACAAACATATCAGCTGATGTTGTAAATAAATTTTGAAATCTTGTTATTAGTGGATAATCAATTTCAAAAATAGCACAGTAATCGGTGTAACTTTCTGACGTAACTACGAACACTTTTTTATTGCAATAGTTCAATAGGTCACTGGTAGATATGTCACAATTTTGTTTGCTCTCGGACCTAATTAAATTTAGAAAATATTTACAGGATTATCGTTAGAGGTTTTGTAATGAATTGTTTACTATTTTTTCTTACTCTAATCACAATCACGGCACTGCTATTTTTTGAAACTAACTCGGCAATTGCAGTACAAAATTTGCTATCATGTGCAGTAAGGTCATATTATGGTAAAAATGTCGTATTTGATTGACCTTCATAAAGTATCTTGGAATACGGATAATTAAAGGACCAGATTACGTCAAGACCATTATGATACCCATTTTAGATTCAAAATTATATAAGTATGCAGGTTTTTCTAAGATTAGAGGTAGAAGATATAAAAAACTTATCAATGTATCTCAATCGCAAATTAATTTGGATAAAACACATCTTCGCAAAAAGAAAGCTATTGGGTCTCCAACAACATAAGCTGTATTTTTATTGTTATATAATATATTTTTTTCAAATTTCCCTAGAATCTCTCCCGCTCTAACACATTGTCTCTTATGACAAGCGCTGTTGCTAGTTGTTACAAAATTCCTAGTTTTTCAGAACATCTAGGGAAAAAGTAATATAATGACCCAGAGAGCACATAGCCTAATTACTTAAGTGCATTGGTATTGTTAAGCAATCTATTAATGAATTCATAAGAAAGTGCTTTGAACAAAAAGGAACTTGATCCCGTTACTGGTCATATTTCCGAAGTTAAAAAGGAACTACTGAAAAAACCGCGATTAACATCAACATGGACCGAAAATGCTCCATCATACGAGCATGAGTTGCACAACATGGCCTCGACTCATAAAAGGCTGACAGTAAATTTGTTCTAAAAACCACATGGACAAATGTGAGGTGTTTTGACACACATGTTGATAGTATCCAGTCTATTGGTAGTATATGTCCTGTTTCGAATATTTTATTGAAGAGGTTTAGAAGAGAATGTTTGCCTTTATTGTAGAGTAGTTTGATTATTTCGCTGGGAATTTCATCTGGATCGATTGCTTTCTTTGCTATTCTTTAATAGTTGTATAGCTCTTCCATTTCATCGAAATGTTTGGACCAGTCGATATATTTTCGATTTGTATTTTTGTTCTTTCGTCATCAAACAGTTCTTCAATACATTCCCTCCATCTCTCCAGTTTGTATGTTCATTGACTATGATGATATTTCCTATAGTAGGAATTACATGAAATAAAACTATTTCAAGTACTTTATCAAGTAAACTGCTTGAAGTTGACCTATACGGCCCAGTTATTTCTTGCACCTTTTTGGACATCATTCAAGTATCATTCTTTTTCTAAAGTTCTTCTATTTCAAAACATTAGCTGCTGTACCATTTTTCTTTTGCCTCCCTGATGTTCCTTTTGATTTATTTATTGATTTTGTTGTATTTTTCAGTGTTTTTATTTTTCTGTTCTAATCCATTTTCCATTAGTCCCAATATTTCATCAGTCATCCATTGATTTTTGAGTTTATTAATAGTTTTATACTTTTTGGTTGTTTCTTGCATGATGGTTTTGATCTGGTTCCAACGATCATCGATGTTATGTGTTTCTTCTGATTTTTCGAACTTTTTTTCTATCTCGTGTATGATTTCTTGGCTATTATCTGAATACAGTAAGTGTTTATTTGGTTAATCGGTTTTTGATTTCTGATGATCTTGTCTTTAGTATGGGCTGGTGACTTCCAAGTGTATAAACAACGCTTGAACGGGTAGCTTGAAGAATGCATTTGTCGCACATAAATTGTTTTCTATGCAGAATTCTACAAAACGATCTCCTCCGTCATTACGCTGTCCAAGTCCAAATGCGTTATTGTCTACCTTTTACTACTTTGGCATTGAAGTCCCCCATTATTACAATAATATCTTTACTTTTCAGCTGACTTATTACCATCTTACCATACATTTTCTCTATACCATCTTCACTACTGCTCGCTGTGGGCGCCTAAACTTATACCAGATTAATATCTAGTGACTTTGAGTTTAATTGCATCATGATGACTCTGTCTCTGTTAATATGAAAAATGAAAAAGGATGTTTGTAAGTAAAATCGAATGATGAGGAACAATGATAATTTTTTTTTATAAAACTTAGGAATGTCTTACCTTGATCATCAACTCCAAATTCAATCTTCATATCTATAAGTGCACAATTTCTTGTTGCCCATACTTTTTCGAGAATTTCGAAAACTAGGATTGATGTTTTAGTCATTAGGTCTACTTCGTGCTTTCCTAAAAGTGCAAATTTATGATAAAAAACATTGTTTATGGGCAAAGTCTATATATTAATACTAAGTAGTACACTAAAACAAATTATACAGTATTGTGCGAATTAATGTGAACAGAGATCAAAATTCAGTTTTCATAAGTTGGCATACCTGCTGTGCCTATTATGTCAACTGTTTTGTCAAAAAAACAACATAACCTCAAAACCTTATTAGTATATTGTTCAAAACACGTGCTTTGTGTTTTATATCATTATTATATTTTGTTGTAACTCAGGTTATGTGCCAGTTGGTGTTATTTTCATTGATTTCACTGTGAAATTAGGTTTAACTTTTTAATATGGATATCACTCCGAGGAAACGGGTCATAACACTTAGTGAGCATACACCAATGACTCAGAGGGATATTGCAAAGGAGTTTTGTGGAAGTTTGGGTGCAATAAACAAAATAATTAAACAAAAAAAGGAAACAAGAAACAACTTCAGGCGGCGCCTAAGATGAAAAAAACACTAAATTGGACAAAACAATACACTCATTGGAGTGCAGAAAATTGGAGACAAGTGTTATTTTCTAATGAGACCCACTTCCTAGTGCAGGGCCAGCGATCAAAATTCGTACGAAAGGCAGCCAATGAGTCACTTTCAGCTAGCCATATTAACCAAACAGTTAAACATCCCACCAAAAAAATATTCCGGGGCTGTTTTTCATATTCAGGAACTGGAACTCTTATTCCTATTGAAGGTATGATGAACAGTGGAAAGTACAAAGCCATGCTAGGGCAACGCTTAGCTATAGAGCTTGACAAAGTACAGGCCGAAGGGACTGCAATTTTTCAACAAGATTCAGCTCCGTGCCATGTATCGAAGGTTATGATGAAATACTTCAAGGATAATAATATTATCCTTTTTGATTGGCCTGGGAATTCACCTGGCCTTAATCCTATTGAAAATTTGTGAGCAATATGTAAGTCTAAACTGCAAAATTTGACTATGACACAAACAAAAATGGTGGAAGCAGTGATTAAGGTGTGGTTTAGAGAAGAAGCAATCACAAACAATTGTAAAAACTCGTGATTACATGCCTCGAAGACTCCAGGAAGTCATAAAAGTAAAAGGGGGTCATAAAAATTTACCTTTGGCCTAAATAAATCATTTACAAATTAATTCTGTTTGTTCACATTAATTCGCACAATACTGTATATTATTAGATCATTTACTTCTTCTCTGACCGTCAAGCGGAAGAGATCGAGTACCTAACGTTAAACTCACTGCAGTGTTGTCAAGTATTTCAATATTTCATTGAAGCGGAACAAGTATATTTTGGAATTAAAATTAAAAGTTCAGTGAACAATAAATGTTTATGTTAGCCTAAATCATAAATCAAATTGGTAAACCCAGTAACTTTTATTTTGGTATATTGACAGGTTGTCACTGTCATTACTATTGATCATGCGAACCTTGTAATAAAATTTGGAGTTTTGTTAATAATAATAATAAATCTTAATCATACCTCTAAACCACTGCTTTCTCCAATTATTTAACATTGGTTATGGGCCCAGAAGATATGAAAGTTGAAAATAATTTCCAAAAAAGTCAGTAAAGACCCACGTTTGGTTTTGGAGGTTATATCAGGTGTTTTGGTAGTAAAGACACCTATGTAAATGAATCACGTTGTGGAAAACAAACATGGTATTATTTCATTTAATTGAAATGGATTCGATAATTGGAAATCTAGAGTATATTCAGTATTGAAAAGTATGGAATTAAGAGGTGTATTGCAAACAGTAGCAGAACTAGAGATGGAGAAGTGGAAATTGGTAAAAAAACAATAATAAAATATGCATGGTAATTATACAGAGTGTAGAAGACTCCCATTTACAGTATATAAGACATAGATGTTGCTTGTGACATGATTAGTAAGTTGGAGAAAAAATTCAGTAAAAAGGGTACATGTTTTAAGTTTTATCTGTTAAAATCTGACCTGGACTATTGTTACAACATGAACATTCAAAATCATTTTACTAAGTGCGATGGGATATTTGGATAATTAAAATGACCAATGGGAAGGTCATATGGTCGATAAACCCGGTCCATGCGAAAGAGTTGTAGGGACTGCCTTGCGTCTGTTTTTTTTTTCATAATCAGTCTATTTGGATTATATGTCTATGTTTATTTGTATTATATGTCTATGTTCAAAACAGATCAAATCAAGGTTTTGTTATAGGCTATATATAAATTAAGCGATTGAGTCCTTTAGGATATTCAAAAATTGGGCGAGACACTATATTTTTCAGGGTTTTTAAGAGGTTTTGTGGGGTTAATATTTTTTTTGAGATAGATACAACCTAAATCAATACAACTCCAATTTATATTCAAAAAATATATGAGAGATTATTTTCAGGCTTCAAAAAAGGAATTACAATCATCTTTTGTGCGAAAAAGTAGGTTTTCAAGGGTTATTCGAGAGTTTTTACTGAATTTCCTCAACTTTTTTTACCTTTCTACATCATTAAACAGCATGTTTTCAAAAAGTTTATAAAATAACATAAGTCGATGTTTTTCCCATATTCAGGAGAGCTATAGATTTCTTAAAATATGCGAAAAACCCGATTTTCAAATGTTTTTGGGCGCTTTACTGGATTTTCCCCCCACAGTTCGACTGAATTAAAGGCCTTACCATAGTCAACAAAGGATAAATGTAGTGAGTCATTGTATTCGTTGCATTTCTCTATCAATGTTCGGAAGTTCTGAATTTGTTCTATAGTGCTATAATCTTTGCGGGAACCTGTCCGTTCTGGAGGTTGATAGCTGTCGAATTTATTAGATATTCTGTTAATAATAATTTTTGTAAGAACTTTGACTGTGTGCGAGACATAAGATTAGATAATTTTTTATGTTTTGTGTATCGCTTTTTTGGTGACTTGGGCATTTTGCCAGCTATCTGTGATTCTCTCTCATCTGCTAAACATATATTTAGAATAACACTCAAGTAAAATTTAAAGTTCAAATGTTTGTACATCGACAATATGTATGTTTGTGACTTATTGACATCTAATATAGACGCGTTAACCGAAATAATGGAATTTTTTATGAACATCAGCAGCAATCCATCGTAATAATTGTCATTTGGAAATACCCGGCATAACAACTGTCTAAACAAAAAATAGTCTACTAGTACATTGTTCTAAATAGGCCTTTGTTTACAAAACCTAAAAAATACCACATTAACAAGAATTGATTTGAAAAATAAAAAGTTCAATAAAACGGAGAAAAACGTTGAAAAATTCCACTGATAAAAGCTGACCGATGTGTTAACAATGTGTTAGTGATCTTGAACTTTGTGGAGATAAATATTCTTTGGTACATCGAACGTTTGTTGCGTAAGAAATATCTAGTGTAATTGAAAAATGATGAAATAGTTTATTATTTTTACTCTCCTAAAATTATTTCTCTTGTTAATAAGTCAAACAAATATACTTTTTAAATATAATCCAGTTATTACAATTTTGTATTATTTTTAAATATATTTTTATTATTATAATATTTTTCATCAATCATCCAGTTGAAACTGAATCAAAATTATAAAATAAGTTTCGAATTTAAGCTTTTGTGTCTATTTGAACTCTGCCTGGGGGTTTGGGTGGATTGAGTAGCTCAGAAGCCGCGTTTATGCCCACAGCCGGTCCCAAGCCCGGGTAAAAGAGGAGGGTTGATGGGTCAGGTTAGCATCCTACCCATTGTAAAAGAACACAAGGCTCAAAGAAACGATATAAAGCCTCAGAACCAGACGGAGACTAAGATGAAGAACCACACAAAGAAAAGGAAAATGGAAAATAAGCCCCCAATTAGATTAACAACATGGATCATTACTTCTTTTAACAACAAAGACCAAGAGATAATAGAAAAACTGATAAGAAACCAAGAAGAAAGGTAAAGGCCAAAGAGACTATAACCAATATTTTCTAGCTTACAGTGGAGTAAAGAAAGAAGAACGAGCACGATCAGGTGTAGGTATACTTGTCCATAAAAAATTTAAAGACAACATAAATAACTTCTGTTATATCTCCGAAAGAATAATACATATGAACATCACAATGGAATACCAAAAATTAAATGTCATATCTATCTATAGCCCCGAGGACTACAAACCTAAGGAGGAACCAAAGACATTCTAAGGGAGCGTTTTCACGATGCACTTTAGATGATCATCCCGGATGAATCATCCAAAGTGAAAAATAAATGAATAGTGTAAAGTAATAATCATCAAAAATGATTATCCAAAATGAATACTGAACGAAGTTGAACCGAATTCTACTATTGTTCACTTTAGAGGATGCATCGCGAATGAATCATCCAAAGTGAACCGTGTAAACATGCATTTATTGCTGCGATTCATCGGCAGAAAATGGCAAATGGAGCATTTAGGTATACGATACAAAGCTTCGAGTGTTGAAAATCAATCTCCAGCTGCAAGACATCTTAGTACAATCTGCAATCTCAGTCTCGGATGAAGAGATTCTTTCATGGTTGTGCTTTGCTTTGCACACGGTGTGACTTTGGCAAGTAGCTCTTCAAATTGCCCTTCGGATATTCTTAGATGGTTTTTTAACATGAGTTGATCTCCTGTAGACCAACTGTTACCCACCAACGTCGTTTTTTTTTAATCTTAGTTTTTCAAGTACATGTCTAAGTTAATTTAAAATATATTCACTTATTATGCCAATTCCAGCACTTACAACTTCAGTCGGCGCCATTTGTAAGTGAACAGACTAATTCAGTTTTGGTGATCCATGTATATGATAATTACTTTAATCGTCGCAATCTCTTTGGATGATTCATCAGGGATGATCATCCAAAGTGTAATGTGAAAAAGCGCCTTAAGAACAATTGCAAACCATCCTGGATGAAACACCTCATGAAGATCCCTTAATTGGGTGACTTTAATGCACGAATAGAAAATGAAATATTTCCAGGAGTAAAATAAAGATTTTATGAAAACCATGTCAACGCAAATGAAGAATTCATGGCTAATATCTGTGCTTTTAACGAACTGAGAATCAATAACACATTTTTCGACCATAAGCTCCAGTATAAATATACATATGAAAACTCCAGGGGGCACACATCTGTGATTGATTTTATAGTCACTAATAGAAAAACCCACCCAGGAACAACCTCCAAAGGGAACATAAACTAGTATCACCGAGGAAAGATTCAATGTAGAATCATTGTGGAATTACTCTACAAGAGAAATGTACCAAAGGAGGCTAGCACAGAAGATACAGCTGAAACAAATAGACGACATCGAAGATATAAACGCAAGCTGGGAGAAAATAAAAAACAACATTGAAGAAGTAACAAATGAAGTTCTAGAAAAACGGAAAGTCATACTGAACAAAAGAAACAAATACAATACACCATGGTTCAGAAAAGAAATAAAAGAGAAATGTAAAGAGAAACGAGAGGACTACACGAACTACAAAACATCAAATACTCCAGAATCCCGAGATACTTATAGAAGAATACGAAATGAAACAAAGCAATCGGTAAGAAGAACAAAAAATGAACACTAGGAACAGTTTACAAAAAGGATGGAAAGCGACTTCTACGGTACACAAAAACAAATATTGAGATTCATAAGAAACCAACGGAAAGAAATGGAAGAATTGAAGAAATACAATAACATACCAGCAAACGAATGGGAAAGATACCTGACAGAACTGTTTAAAGGAAAGGAAAATAATAATCAACACAATAACGTACCTGAATTAGGTCACGAAATAGAAATCAGTTTTCAGGAAGTAGAGATAGCCTATTCACTCAAAAATAGAAAGTTACCAGTTACCTGAGTCCTTTAGGACCTCCAAAAATTAGACGAAACAGCTTTAAACCCCCAAAAGACCATGTCCTATGAGTTTTTTCTACTTTCTAGCATTTGTAGATTACAAAAAATATTCAGCATAAACATTTTCCGGTTGTAGGTAAGAAAAATTTACAAAATATATGAACTTACATTCACTGAATGAGAAAATCACGTTTATTGTTATTTGAGGTCTTGTTTTCAACCTTTTATTACATACATTTCAAAATACTGTTATTCGAACAAAACATCTTATTAACTACATAAATCTCAGTTACTCAGTGTGTACTTCTTAGTCTTCATCGCTGTCTTCCTCTATTACAGGTATAAGTATTGTATTGCCAAAGAGTTTTGTAAGATGTTCTGCTGCCTTGATGATTCTTGCCAAATATCTTCCAAGTGATAAATAGTATATCAAGGCAGCCACATACAAACAACAACCTATGGTTCTATTGCTGTTTGTACAACTATAGCAGTATCATTTAATACTTTCCAAACCATCTATATGTGGTTCATATTGCAAATAACATTTATATGTATCACTGTTAGTATAAGACCCCACTGCAGGATCACTACATTCATAACATAGTTCATCAAACTCACATTTTTACATACATTTAAAATTAGGAGAGTACATTGATAATAGGTAGCCAGTCAAAAAGTGGCCTCAAATATCTTTAATTCAATTAATAGTACCAAACTTATTAGGTACTTACCAATCAAAAGACCATTGACCTTGAATTCAGCAGAAATGATCTGTTCTTCAGACCATTGGGGATCGTGGTTGGCATCATCCTTGAAGAAAGTTTCATGTTTGACTGGAGTAAAGCGGAATCCTTCCTTGACACCTGGATGTCTGCGTAAGAACGATCCTGTAGCCAGACGTCTAGTAACCCATTCAATGGGAATCATGTCACATTTTTTGGAAAGGAAGGCATTGTCAGCTACTGATTTTACATAGGCAGTTTTCATACCTTGAATAAAATTTAAGATGTAAGTAGGCTAGATAGAACAACCTGGAGTTTACTTTATTGTTTATTTGAATTAATCTATACTTACCAACTTTTTTCAAGATTTCGAAAACTTTTCCATTGGTTTTATTTGAGATAACAGATTTTCCAGCCAAGTCATGAGCCTTGACACCATCTCCGGCAGTGATTCTGTCTTTGCTTAATAAAATACAATGACCAGGCACAGAAGGTACATCAAAAACCTGTTTGGTTTTTCCTTCAATAATTAGGTTGCCTAATTTGTAGCCTCCAACTAAAAATATAAACCAAATTTAGGATAAAATGATAGCCAAAAGTGTAATAGTATGTTTTTTAAATAAAAAATATGGGAAAACTGAAGTGTCTGTTAAAATGTATGTATTGTAAATTGAATAAAATGCTAATACAGTTTTCTAGGCTTCTTTTTTGATTGGTCTTCTATTACATTTTCAATCACATACAAAAATCATTTTCAATTTTATAGTGGTATAAAATTATTTTTATAATGTTTATTTGATTTTACATTAATTATTCTTTGGTCCAGAGGCCTATTAATATCTTCGTGTTAGCTATTGAAATGACTTATTTCAGAGGTTTTATGATATATATTTTCATAAAACGCTTTGTTTTTATACTTAACTCTATTCTTTTATTTCAAATCTATCAATTATTTGTCTCAGCATTAAGTATACTTTTATATGCTATGAACCATTTTTATTCTATAAGCGAAAATATTTTATTCTTTACCGAACCGGCACTCGGTTCCATAACCACAACCAATTTTCACTAAATTTTAGGTTATAAGAAATGAAATATTTTAAATGGTTAAAAACTACGAATATATATTGAAAATAATCTAAAATGTGTGGCTTAATATTAAATCATTTAAAAAAAAACAAAACCTGGGCTATCAAACCATAATTTTGGTTAAATTAACAAGACATAACTTTTCTAAAATTTAAACTACAACCGTAAACGAAAACTAAAATTACTTACTTTCTTTCACTGAAGTCATTTTTACTGGATAATGAATTACTTAATAAACTAAAGTAGCAACCAAATTCTAAAATACTAAAAGGTATTTTATTGAAAGTGAACTCCAAAGCGCGGTACCTCGTTAAGCTTTTTATTAGTTCAATAATTTATCAACGCATGCGTCATTAATTGTTGATTAGAAATAATTGTTAATGTCGTAAGATGTTTGTTCTTAATTTAACCCAGTATTACACAAAAAATATTGTTACTAAGTTGTTTGTTGATATTGATCAAGAATCGGAGAATAAGAACCCAAAAACAATTTTTACAATTTGTTTTCAATTTGAAATCAACAAGTGGCTCTTAGTGGTCGTGAATACTGTGACGTAAGAAGGAGATATAAGACTTTTAGTTGGAAGGGGTAATGAGATAAAGCGCAAGACATGTGCTAATATAAAACTGAAAGAAAGTTGTGCTTTTCAAAAGATTTGTTATAATTCCAATTGATATACCTAGTTAGTTTTTAAATTGAAAAAGTAAGTAAAACCATACCTATGTATGAGTGTAGATTGTGTCGATTTTTTTAAAATACTTTCCTTAAGCTGCATAATAGTTTAATGTAAAATATTTTAACTTATTTTCTTCTTTTTTCTTTCTCTTATCTTATGTAATTTCTTGCCTAGGTAGGAAAACTTACCTTTACGTATTTTCCCCTTTTTTCTTTAATATTGAAGAATAATTGCTTAATTAAGTATGTACATTTTTAGTGTCAGAAGATAAAAAACCGTGCGGATTTGAACACCAAAGCGAAGAAGATGATTTGGCGTGCGCATTGGAAAGTGTAGGAATGAGTAAAAGAAAAGGAAGAGGACGTGTAACTTCTGGATTAACTCACGAATGCGGAGTTTTTGGTGCAATAGGATGCGGGGAATGGCCTACGAATCTAGAGATTTCACAAATCATTTGCTGGGGATTGGTTGCGTTACAACACAGGTAAGTGTAGTTAAAACCGTATAACTGATGAAAACTTACACTTAGTTTTGGTGTAAAATAGTAAAAGTTGCCGATAAAACTGAAGAAAATACGAATGTTTAAATAAATGGATACTTTTTTTTTTATTTTTAATGTCCATTAACCGATTTGCATAAGAGATTCTAAATTTTTCATTTGCTGTAGTAAAATATCATCTCTCTTCGTATATATCATCGTTTTCTTGCAACAGTCAGTTTTGCTTTCAAGAGTCAGTTTTATTTTTTTTATTCAATTCTTTGAAGCCATCGGTGTTTCGCTTTCCTTCGCTTAGAAATGTGCGTCTCTTTTCCATCAACCGTTTTGTTCCATCACTTATTCTATCTTCTTTATTTTTCGTTTTCTTTGCAACAGTCAGTTTTGCTTTCAAGAGCTTTCGTTGCATTTCTTTATTAATTGTGTTCATGTCGGAATTTTCTTGTTGATGATGTTCTACAAATTCTTTTCTTAAGACTTCTCTGTACTCATGTACCTTCTGTCGCATTTTAGTTTGATCTATCTGATTACAATAATTATTTGGCCTGTTACACAATCATATTGCATTGTAGTTTGAAAGTAGTGCTAGTTTTCGTGTTAAGATTTTATTAGACTCATTTTCAACGTTTTCAATATACCAGATCTGCTAGAATCTATGAAATGAAATGACATCCATAATATAGTCCCAACTCGTCATCGTGTGATTTTATGCATTTGGCTTGTAAAAACATCGTCGGTAATATAATGGGAGTTCACTTCGAGGTAGAGTCAAATTCACTTTCGTGTAGTTCTTGAGTATACTGCTGTTCTGACGTTTTTAAAAGATAAAAAGCATTGTGACTTTGAACACTAAACAAAATATGAATTGGCGTCTGTATTGACAAGTGTTGAAATGAGCAAAAAAGAATACCTAAGATGTATAAGTCCTGGATTAACTCAAGAATGTGGAGTTTTGATGCGGACAATGGCCTACCAATCTAGAAACTTGCCTTTGTCCCTTTCTTATCATTATTGTTATAGTATATAACATCAATAGAAATTGATGAGTATAACAGTGCCGTATATTACTTAATTACATTTATTTTGCACGGATTTTTTTAGATTGTATCTTTATGTACACCTCTTCTACCTAGTGGCGATTTGTAGCTTGCTACTTTGACTACTATATCCGTCTGTCTATATGTGTTGTTTCATTCTCTATTCATATTCAGTCTCCACTCGCCTATCTTTTTGCTCCTTCAACCTTACTCTGTCAAAGGCATTTTTTAAGTAAATGAAGCAAAGTAACACATGTCAATTGAATTCTAGTCTTTCTCGTAATATGTCGTATAACAAATATAGCGGCTGTGCACGATCTTCCGCTTCGAAAGCCTTATTGTTCATCCGCAAGTTCTCCCGTTTATTAATTTGGTTAAAAATATTTCGTTAGTTTCAGCGTGATGTTTAATATATTAATCCCTCTATTGTTTGGATACTTTGTTGCTAATCTATCACAAGTAACAAATACATTTCAAGATTTTTTAGAACCTTGAAATGAACCTTGCGATGTTTTTGCGCTTGGCCTATTAAAACAACCATGTAAAGGCAGTAAAAAATATGTATAAGCAGATATCGTAATGCTGAAAAAGAATTTATCGAAACCAATTGGGTATGAAAGACACATTAGACAAAAAGATTCTCCTCGAGTTCGTTAATATTCAATATGATAAGGACGGATTTATAAAAGATAACAAAGAAAAAAATTCAGAAGGAGACGAAAGCAAATCCAGATAATATGTTACTTTGACATTAACTTTGACATTAAAACAATTGACATTTTGTTTAGTTTCCATAGCCATCTTTAGAATTAGAAATGAATTTTTTAAGCAATGGAAACGTATATGAAAAGTACAAATGGATTGTTTTCGAAAATCGTACGTCATATGGGCTTTATGTAGGAGCATCCTTATAAAAAAATCGAAATTTCTTAAATGTTATGCCAAAATGATGAAATTTTGAAAGGCAAAAAAGTTATGAATAAAAATGCTCAATGCCCCGTCTAAACGAACCGCTTATGGTTGCAATTAAAAAACCGTACTCACACCAAACGATTGGGGTACTTTCCTCTAAATAAAATATCCAGAATATTATTTAAAAGATACTCATTCTGAAAATATTTGAATTAAACTCATGTTAGAGTACCATCTTTAAAGAGCTCTATAGTTTATTTTTATGAACGAGAGAGTAATTAGCATAATTTTAACTGGTACACTCGACCACTCCATGGGCGGTGCTCAAGATTAATTGAAAAATTATTTTGAATAATTGTAAAAAATAAATGAATTATTTCAGTGTTATAAAGTGTTTATGTGTATGTAAACAAAAGTGCCCTCTTTTATCACACACTTTATTAGAACTGACTGGCCTACATTAAAAAGGGTTTTAAAAAATTTCACATTTTTTTTTATATTTTTAAAAATTACAAAAGAGAAAAAGAGTTTTTAAAACCGTCTAAGGTATTGTTAAATAGATGAATAAAAATATTAATATAAAACTATACAGCTACTTGTTACAAAATCCAAATCAGATTCAGAAGATGGAACTTTCAGAACCAAGATTTATAATAACTGGCTCGATCATTTTATCAGTAATATTGTCCAGCTTCCACATTTTTTTCCTCTTCTTTAATAGTGTGATTTACTGCCTTTTCCCAGTTTTTCAGGTTTTACATTATTTACGGCCTCCAAAAACAACTGTTTAACATCTGAATTTTAAAAGTGGTATTTTTTTTGACTTCACTCTTTATCTGTGCCCATACCAGTTCAATCGGGTTTAATTCACATGATATGGTGGAGATCTAAGTACTGCCATTCCACGACTTTTTGGCAATTTCATCAATTTCGTATTTTTTAATTTTTCTTTATGAAGGGCACACAACGAATAAAGTTCCTTTCTTATAGATCCGGGATGGTACGTAATATTTTTTGAACTCAGCCAATTCTGCAAGTCTTTTTTTTAACCACTTGGTTGTGGGCAGTCCTTCTATAAGTCTGGAGTGATAACTTGCATTATCCATTACTATTACACAGTTCTTAGGAAGAAGATCTATCATTTGTTCGAACCATTCTTGAAAGACATCAGCGTTCATGTCTTCATGATAGTCACCGGTACGAGTTGATTCAAAAGTTAATAAAACCACCTTCAACAAAACCGTCTGAACTGCCAATGTGTACTATTATCAGCCTGCGTCCCTTTCCTGATGGTGGGTTTAAACCAGTAGATAAGTTATTTACAAAAGCGTGCCTTTGACTTTGTAACAGTTTCATCCTGCCAAAATTTATTTGGTGTATGACCCTCGTTGATCCATGTTTCATCAAGATAAAATATTTTTCTTTTTTGGTTTCTCATTTCCTTTATGGTTCTTAGAAAATGTCTTCTCCATATGACAATATCGCTCCTTTCTAATAAAATAGACTTTCTGGGATTCTTTTTCCAGCGGAAGCCTATTTCTTTATAAAAGTTTCCATATACGTACTTCGACTCATTTTGGGTATCCTTTATCAACTCGAACTGAGACAAGAACTTTATCCAATGTTGGAAATTCTTGTCGAAAGAAGAATTCATGCACTTTCCGTCGAAGTCCTTCTTTAAAATGATATTTCTATTTGAAATTTTGGTTTCCCTGGAGCATTACGTGGCATTTGAAAAACTACCACATTTCTCTTCTTTAATAACTCTTTAAATCGTAGATTTCCCAACACCAAGTGTACTGCTAACTAACTCAACGGTTGCTCATCAACACTTTCACATAAACGTTTGTCTGTAAATGATTTAAAACAATTAAATATTAATGTTTTTTCATTAACTGTTAAAGGGCCAATTTTTTCGGCGTTTACACGGCACTTCCAAATTTTCCATAACACTAGTATACACAATAAACTGCACCTCGCAACTGAAGTACCTACTTTTAGTGAATGTTAAGAATTTTGAATACGCCACTTGGACCTTCCTACAAAATGGAAAAAACCCACTATCACATTTTTTGTGGAATAAGTTTAGAAGGTAATTATCTAGTCAATTACTGTCGTAGATTCCTGGAATTAAAGGAATTAAAAGTTTGATTGTTGGAAACCCTTACTTCGTGGAATGCACTCATTTCAGATAAATAAAACGTTTTATTTTATCTAAAGAATTAAACTTTATTTTGCAAATAGGTAGGTACTTATTAAAACTTTTATTGGTTATATATAACCAATAAAAATAAACATCTTACATTTCATGCAATATTCATTAGTACCTGTTAACCTCCATCACTCCGACACTGGCAACCTTATTTAGGGATTAGTAACCCTCACAACTATTGTATTCTATTCTGCTCCAACCTTTATACCTGGTGGTCATGTACTCAATTTAAAATTGTTGTTCCTCTATACTTCTGTAAAAACTTGTTGACAAATAATCTGTTTTTCATTGAGTCACACCGTATCAACAGTTTAGGGATTTGCATACATAATTTTATTGTTTTATTACTCTCTCTCATACATAAAAATACACTATAACTCCCTTAAGCGATTTACGTCAAATCAACATAAAATAAGTTCCAGAATTTGTAGTTTTCCTTTATGAAGACACAATATGTATATACGTATAAATACATATTTGCAAGTACAATATTACTCAATGATAAACATTACAACACAAATAGATATGTATTTTAAGAAGGTTAAATATGTCGAAATAAAATTTTTTGAAACTGTAATTGGAACTGTTTTGTTTTGAACTAAAAATATACGCAACCAGTGTCATCAGCTCACCCCCGTGACGCAAAAGAGATACGAATTGGTGACATAAACATTTTTGCAACTAACTTTTGAAGTTGCATCATTGGGATAAGAATTAAACGCTTCCCCGCTAGAGTTTATCACAGTATGTGTTAAATTTATTATTGAAAATCTTCCACGGTGACTTTGATGTCAGCCGTTCAGTACAGGTCATTTTAAGTGTTAACGCGATAATGATATTATCGTATTTCTTTTCATTTTCCACGGAAAATTTCGTTGTTTGTTAGAATCATTACTAGCGTATTATTTTTATTGCATAATAGTTTATGTTTCGTTTGTTTTTTTTTATTTAAATACATATAAAAAATAAATGAAATAGGTATCTTATCGATAGTCTGCTCCTGCTCGTATATTTCACTTTTCAGAAGGTGGAAGACGTAACTCAGCGGCTATTTTACTGACTTAACAAGCTGAAGACAATATTTAATTCGGTACTGTATGTTTACGCCGGAAATATTGGAAATCATTCCACGATAACATCACTTATCCACTAAGTAATTTATAGAACAATACCTTCTGTATTTATGTGACTTTCTATATCACCAGATACATCTGTATCCAATTACCAATTAGTCTTTTACACACCCATACAAAATATTAACAAAAATTCGAACAAATAGATTTTTTTGTTGACAGTGCAAATTTTCTAAACTTTGTACCAGGTCTCTCCAATTTCCCTTCTCTTTTCTCTCTATTATTTGTTACGTATATTTACCTTTGTTGATTTTTGCCACAGCCTTATTTAAACTCATAAAGGGTCATACAATTATGTGCTCCAAAGATACCTTTGCATATAGCTCCGCTCTTTCGTCACTGAACTAACTGCATTCGAGCACACAGTGTTCTGCTGTGCGCTTATTCCGCAGTCCACACAGCTACCATCGATTGCCTTGCCTACGGTATGCTCTATGGTATACCCTCTCAAGGTATGCTCTAAATGACCCGTGTCCCGTAAAAAATTGCGTGAAGAAGTAGTTCGAACTTTTATATTTGTACTCGACCCACTCTTCTACGCTCGGGATCAGAGTCCTTGCCCATGCAGCCCTCCATTCGTTTACTCACTCTTCCTGCCATTTAGTGATGGTTTTCTTTCTTCTGTCTTCTATTGATTCTCTTTTACCTGCAGGTGTATTGCTGGTACTTCGGCTATAACTTGTAGGGCTACTGTTGAGCTCGTTCGGTAAGTCGTTATTCACTTTTGAGCCTTGTTTGCAACATATTTAACATGTTCGCTAAATATCTGTTTACTGTCCAGCATCACTCCTAAGTAGGTATTTAATGCTTTTGCCCGAAATTATTCTTTTTTCTTCGAGGATGAAGTATATGTGATCTTTTATGGACAAAGCTTAAATAAATTTAAAAAAGTAACAATACCAATTAAGATTTACTAAAATTACATAAATCGTCAATATCACAGAATCACAAAATAAAAGATAATAAAATATACAATCCATTGCAAAATTAATCAATTGCAAATAAAACCTTACGGACTAGTTTACGAATAAGTGTAAGTTGCTGCATGTGATACCCAAATATATACAAAAATTAGTTGCTTGTACCTAAACGTACTGTAATTTCTTAATTATTCGTTAAGAAACTCTTCCACCGAATAAATGATCTTTTCGATAGATGGGATTTTGTCAATTTAATATTTTCAATTTTTTTGTCGAATATAATATAGATTTCTTTACTAACTCAGTGGATGGGATCAGTAAATACACATCAAAGCTTGAATTTCTGGTGGAGTAATCATGATTAGGTCTTGCTGGAGAAACATGTAGGTGTTTACGAATTAAGCAAACAGTTTCTAGAATATATAAAGAGGGAAGAATTAAAATCCCGTGATTTTTTAAGTAGCTTCTGCAATGTGTTATTCTACTGAGGCTAAAAATATACCGTATTGCTCTTTTTGGTCATTTAAAAATAACATCAAATTAAGTAGCTGTGCCATAACCAAAAAAGCAAGGCCATATCGAAGATGAGACTCGAATAAAGAAAAATATGGTATTTTGGAAGATGTTAAATTGATTTCCTTCGAAACAGATCTTATTGCATAGTAGGCTGATGCTAGTTTCTTACTTAACAATCTATATGAAGGAACCATTTAAGGTTGCTGTTTAAATGTACATTAGTGAACATCTTGATGTACAGTAGTGAACGCATATTCTTGGCTGATATGCGGATACATTTGGTAGTCTTTGGTAGTACCAGAGCTTCCGTTTTTTGCGTAGCGAGTGTCAACTCTCGGTTTTCCAGCCACGTTTTCACCCTTTCCAGTGTAGCATTGGCTGTGTTGATTATAAGCTCGCTTTCATTGTGCTTTAATAGAACGACAAGGTCATTCATGTAAGCTACAGCCTGGGTCCCCACTCCTAGATCTTTCTCTAGTATAACATTGTAAAGAATGTTCCAGAGTAATGGTTTTAGGACTGAGCCCTATAGCACCTCCGCCTACGTCTCCATAATTTGTCTACTTGAAAAGTATCCCTATGTTTTGTAGGTATGGGGATACTTCCAATTTCTACAGTATTCCAGTTGTTTCTCTCCGGCTCGCGCATTTTTTTTGTCCAGAAAGAAGGTTACCAACCACCCACTCTTACTGATCCTATTCACCGCTTTTTTTAGATTTGTCTTTCCTAAACAAATATCCCTGTTGAAACATCATTATCATCCAGTATCAACATCCGACCTCAATTCATCCTGCACCACCATCATTAATTTTATTTAATTCGTCATATATAGAAATCAAATTGCCGAATCCAGTGTTATATAACATTACAAGAGAGCAAGATTCACCTTATTTCATTTAAAGCTGTGATGTCTTATTTATTATTAACCCGGTATTTGTGTTTTTAGGGGCCAAGAGTCCGCCGGTATAGTTACAAGCGAAGGACGCTGCTCAAAATACTTCAATGTCGTCAAAGGTATGGGCATGATCAGTAATATTTTCAACGACGAAGCCATAAGAAAATTGAAGGGAAGCGTAGGAATCGGTCACACCAGATATTCGACCTCTGCTGCTTCAGAGGAAGTTAACTGCCAACCTTTTGTAGTCCATACCGCACACGGAGCACTTGCCGTAGCACACAACGGAGAATTAGTCAACTGTGATAGTTTAAGAAGACAAGTAAGTGATTATTATTACATAGTACAGAGATTTTAATGTTTCTAATTAGATAATTTGAATAATACAACAAAACATTAGGACACAACGCTGTTATTTAAATTTTATTTAGAGACAGTTGGACATTGACAGATGTCATGGGACTACTCAAATGTCAAACTTGTAAGGTTAATAAATTAAAAACATAATACGTACAAGTCCAGCCTTACAGTCTTTCTTATCACCCGTTGGGGCCTTCGTGGTACGGGGCGTCATCTGAGCTAGCTGCAGTATTTGTAGTATCTAATATTTAGTAAGGCTGGACTTGTAAGTATTATGTTTTTGTTTTTAATTTATTAACCTTATAACTTTAGCATTGTCTTACGAGGAGGAGAGTTGTCATATACTTGACATTTTAGTAGTTCTTTGACATGACACTTGGACATTGACAGATGTCATGGGACGTTACTAAAATCCTAAAAATATACTGACTTGATAAAATCACAAACGCAGGAATTACGGAGAACAAAACAAGAGAAGATAACAGTCCCGATTAATAGAAAGAAATGGAAATTGATTGGACTTACACTAAGGAAAAACCAAAATAATATGACCATAAAGGCCAAAAATAAATACCAACAAGATGGAAGAAGAAAAAGAAGAAGTGAGAGATCAAGCACAAAAAGCAAATAGATTGGCATGATGCCTTAATAACACTATATTAACACTGAGATGAAGTCAAAGGCTACTGGAAACGGTAGAGATAAAAGTACTGAGAAGAATTGCAGGAAATACGCTGAGAGATCGAAAAAGACGTGAAGACATTAGAAGAAAATGTAACGTACAGCGTATAAATGAATGGACACAAAATAGAAAAAAGAATGGAATAACCACATAAGCAGAATGGAGACGATCCGTGTCGTCAAAATTGCAAGAGAAGTCACCAATCGGCAGAAGAAGTAGAATTGCTAAGAGTAGAATGCTTAAAAGAGGAAGAAGGAGAAGAAGAAAGTTTTTATTGTGGCTCATATCATAATTTGGTATAAATATCAATTTAACTAAATATTTTTAAAAGTTTATGGGATTATGAAACGATAACTTTTCTTCAACCATATTGCGAAAATGCAAGAACCGTGTATGCTATTACATTCACCTTCTTTCATGAAACTATCTTTTTCAGGTTTTGGAGCATGGTGTTGGTTTATCCACTCACTCAGACAGTGAACTGATTACGCAAGCTCTATGCTTGAACCCACCAGAGGGTGAACCCAATGGTGAACCAGACTGGCCAGCTAGAATAAAGCATTTGATGGATTTAGCACCTTTAAGTTATTCTTTAGTAATTATGTTGAAAAATAAGATTTATGCTGTCAGAGATCCCTACGGAAACCGACCTTTGTGTTTGGGAAAGATTTTACCTTTTAATGAACGTAAGTTTCCTTTGAATGTTTTTAGCTTCAAAATGTATTAATTTAACATTTATCGGTTTCAGCTCTTGATGGAGAATGTGATGACAGTCGAGAGGCAGAGGGATGGGTGGTATCTTCAGAATCTTGTGGATTTTTGTCCATTGGTGCACAATACGTACGTGAAGTATTCCCTGGAGAAATAATAGAAATGACCAGACATGGTATCCGCACCATCGATGTAGTGGCAAGGCCCGAAGACAAAACTCAAGCTTTCTGTATTTTCGAATATGTATATTTTGCCAGGTAATTAATAAAATTTCTTTATATACAACCTATACACATATAACATATCAGCCAAGATATCTGCTATATTAAAATTGGAAAAAATGTTAAGTATTATTGAAGACAGTAATGTCTTGTAGGTATTAACCTAGTACTTCTATCGTTAAAACTTCAACATAATATTTTGTTTCAGAGCTGACAGTATTTTTGAAGGTCAGATGGTGTACGCCGTCAGAATGCAGTGCGGTAGACAATTGGCTATAGAACATCCCGTAGAAGCTGACATCGTTAGTGCTGTTCCAGAATCTGGTAATGCAGCAGCCCATGGTTTTTCACGACAGGTAAACCACTGTGTTTTTATATAATTTCCTTAATTCAGAATCAGCGGGTTGAGTTTACCGAAAGTACAAGCTGAATATAGCCGCAAATGTCAACCATGAAATAAAATATTTCGATTTGGCAGTGTTGGGATGTTTTTATCATTGAGCATAAAGACAAAAGAGGGAATCTAATCGTTATGAAAAGGAGACCAAAAAAGTGGCCTCCGATGGCGGACATATCCGGAAATGCGAATGCGCCAAATTTAAATTTTATGACACTTCACAATAATCATACAGTGGTGTAGGGGTTCTAATTTATCTATTTATATATTTTATATTACATAATATTAATACATAATACACTTAAAATACTTTTTTTAACACTAGAACACAATAAAGTTTGAATTAAATAATAACGATAATAGTCTAAAATGTGAAACAATTGTTAAAAATCTTCAATAGAAAATACAAATAATTTTTCATGTGACAATTGGGACAAACCATGGCCTGGAATCTTATATGAATGACTTGGTTCATTCCCCCATCACTTTGACCCCAGCGAGTTAATAAAGAGAAATGACAGCCTATCTCTCTCACGAAGACTTTAACCAATCATAAACCAAATAAAATAATCAAACGACGCAATGTCAATTCTGTCAATCCAAAGTAATGACAGATCTTCCGTTTGTTTACAAGTTTTCAATTTTATTTTATTATCTTTAACTTTCGTTTGCATTTATTCTTAGTAATTTTAATTTAAATTTGGTTACTTAATTTTTAAAGTTTATTTTGAGTTACCTATTGTAGCAAAGAATTTTTGTGTAGTGCTAGTAACAAAACTAAACATGGTGAATTATTGTATTGTTCGTTGTGTACAAATCATGGAAAAATTACAAAAAGGATGATAGTAAGTTGTCAGGAAGCAAAAAATAATAGTATTTAACTTCTGCAAATATGTGTAATAAATATTATGTAATTATTTTATAACTGTTTTATCTTAAACAACAAATAAATATACGTATATCTAGAAAAAATTGTGCATCTTTTATATATCTTATTTTCCAATAAATTTTAATTAGTAACGAAATAGCCCACAAGAGGCGCTAAAGGGTATGTATGTAAGGGGTGTTCATTCGAATTTGCCGCCAAAAGATGATTAGTATTGACCCCAGCCGCAAGGGGCCTAATGAACGAAATTTATACATTGAGTTGCCTATCTATTTCTACTATTATATTATTTATCTATGGGACAGACAACAACATATCCCAACTAAATTTGATTTCTCTCTTTCCTTGTTTAATGTGGCCTCTCAAGATGGCACTTCCTGTCTTACAATATTTTTGCCCCCACTACCTTTACATTCCCTCTTTTGTCTTTTTGCTCAATGGTTTTTATAATGCACATGTTGTATGCTTCAAATATAAAGAGAGAAAGCTTTTAAAAAGTACATTTTGATTATATTATTTTGCAATTCTGCAATTTTTAATTTCTATGAAACAATAACGAGTAAATGTTTGTCTCTTTCAGGGCAATTGAGAAAAAAATTCTAATAATTAACTGCAATTAATCTTCAAAGAAACACCTTTTTTCTCATTCTCGTTTTATATAAATTAAAAATTGCCGAATTCATAACATAATATAATCAAAATGTACTTTTCTAAAGCTTTATCTCTTTATATTTGAAGCATACAGCATATACATTATAAAAACATGCCAACACTGCTAAACCGAAATTTTTTGTTCCATGTTTGACATTTGTGGCTATCTTCAGCATGTACTTTCGGTAAACTCAGAGATATGTAACTCTCTTACATATCTCTGGGTAAACTCAACCGGCTCAGCGTGGTTAATTTGTTTTAGTTTATATTTTTGTCAAGTTGTTTATGTAACTCAAATATTTTTTTCAGAGTGGTATCAGGTTCGCAGAAGTTTTATGCAAGAATCGATATGTAGGAAGATCTTTTATCCAGCCAAGTAATCGTCTAAGACAACTCAGTATTGCAAAGAAATTCGGTAAGTTCCGTAATGATTTAGATGTTTTTATTGTTGTATGACATTTGTTATAAAATGTCCAATGTGAAATGAGCTGTGTGACACGGAACGTCGTCCTGTTAAAACCACATGCCGTTATCATCCAATTCAGGCTAAAATAAGTTATTAATCGTTGACCTATAAGGTTCGCCGTTGTATGGTAATAGCTCAAAGAAATTATGGACCGATTACGTCGGTGTGGCCAGCCCAAAATCAGTACCAAACAGTGACTTTTTCGTGATGCATTGGACACTCTTGGTTTTGATCTAGATGTAATCGTCCCAAATTCGACAATTCTGTTTGTTCCCGTACCGATTTGTCCAAAAATCATCCTCATCGCTGAAGATGATTTTTTGATAAAAACTTTGCCCGAGCAGAACAACTATTTTGATACACCAATTTTATCATTTCCACGAGTTGTTGTACCCTATATTCATCCATGATAATTTGACAAAATTAAATAAATGACAGTCAAACAAGTGCATCTGAATAAGTTGGCCACCTTTGAATTTTGGTGTTACAGAAGAATCCTACAAATATCATGGACTCAAAAAGAATGCCAAACGCAGATGTTACTAGAAGACTAGAAAATGAAGCTGAAATAATATTGACTATCAAAAGAAGAAACTTGGGTACCTAATTAGGCCATGTTATGAGAGGGCAAAGATACTTATTATTGCAGCTTATTATGCAAAGCAAAATTCTAGGAAAGCGAAATGTGGAAAAACGAAGAATATCGTGGCTTAAGAACTTGAGGAAATGGTTTAAATGCCGCAGTGCAGAACTATTTAGAGCGACAGTCAACAGAGTCCACATATCCATGATAATTTCCATCTTTCGATAGAAGATGGAACTTAAAGAAGAAGAAGTCAATTTGACAGTAGTTTCAACAATATGGCCACTACCAACTGTCAAACTTCGGATGCCTCTATATGTCTTTTCATCATGTGATGAGCGAATGCGGATCCGCCATGTTAAAACAATATATTTGATCGTTTCTTTACTCGTAAGGCTAAACACGTTCGTTGTTCGCTCATGAGGCAGCGATTTTCAACGTATTCTTGAGCCAAGAGTAAGGAGTGACATTTAGTTACGTTGTGCCGTTCGTCGGTTTCGAGATTCCGAAAGGCTTGCCTTTCGGATACCTGACTAGCGTTCGTGCACTTCGTTTCGAGAGTCAACTTAACTCCAACCTGATTCGATTCGAGTACATTGCCAGGCGGTGAATTTGACTTGGGCAATACATCCGCCAAAGAATAATGCAGGTCTCCTAAGGCCAGTTCAGTGAGTACAGAAATTTCGCGTAGGCATATGGACAAAAGCTGGCTTGAACCTGGTGTTCAGTATGCATAGGAACTGCGAAAACATAGCCTATCGATCCTTTTAGCTTGAGGAGTTTTCAGCAAGAGGTGTCAGAAAAGTTATCACAGGGATAACTGACTTGTGGCGGCCAAGCGTTCATAGCGACGTCGCTTTTATATCATCTTCCTATCATTGCGAAGCAGAATTCGGCAAGCGTTGGATTGTTTACCCATAGCCAGGGAACGTGAGCTGAATTTAGACCGTCGTGAGACAGGTTAGTGTTACCCTACTGATGACTAGTCGTTGCGATAGTAATCCTGCTCAGTACGAGAGGAACCGCAGGTACGGACATTTGCAGAATGAACTTAATGCAGAATTTCTGATTGGGCTGCTTTTTTAGATCTCGTGCAAAATAATGAACTTAACTTTATCTGTAAAAAATCGGTGCAGAAAATCTGGATGAGTTCCATTTTTCTGGATGTTCTATCAATTGTTATTGACTCTGTAATATTCACAAAACCTAACGTTTTACGTTTTATTTCAGGTGCCTTGGCAGGAAACGTTAAAGGAAAGAAAGTTCTCTTAATCGACGATTCCATAGTAAGAGGAAATACAATCGGTCCTATCATCAAACTATTGAAAAACGCAGGAGCCAAAGAAGTCCATATTAGAGTTGCTAGTCCACCCTTAAAATATCCCTGCTACATGGGAATCAACATTCCTACCAGAGAAGAACTGATAGCCAACAAACTGAACTCATCAGAACTAGCAAAACAAGTCGGTAAGTAAATGACATATCTAAAGAAATTAATTGCTAAAAAATCATAAAAATAGTCTACTTATAACATCACTGTATATTATTTTCATTTTTATATCACTCCAACGAACGACATCACGAAACGAAATTTTGTTAAAAATATCACCCACCAATTATTTCTTGGCAGCATTTAAAGATTTCTTTTAAGATGAAGCCTGCTAAAAAACTCTCATCGATCATGCTGAACCTCGGTATGGCGGTGTCTATCTTGGTTTGCGCCCTCACACGTATCTCGCTCCTATTTCCCTCTTCTCCCTTGTGGCTACTTTCATCTTTTCCGATTTTCTATTCTACACTTTTGCATTTGCTCTCAGCGTTTACATATTTTTTGTTCCATTCCTCAACCTAAAAGTAATGTCGTAACTCCGGCTTTCTTTCCTGTTCCTTCTTCTTAAGTATCTTTATCATAGAATTGGGTATTTTTCACCACCACTTTGCTGAATTTATCACTCCTTCAACCAACTCTGTAGTTGCTCTAAATCTCTCAAAAGGCATCTGTATCCAGTGAGCACTTTCATAAGGAAATAATCCAGACACGGGTGCCACAGTTCATCCATCTTTTCAGGTTCTGAATCAGTGACTTCGTCCACTCTGCCACACTCTCTGTCTAGTTGGATTCGTTTTGCAATACTAAGATTGACCTTTCAGTGTGCTTCTTTCTCTCTGTCTCTCTCACGTCAACCCTCATTCCTTCTGTCGATAACATAACTGGTAACAACGCTCAATCAGACTCGTCTATCTACCTGGTAAGGTGCTTCTTGTACGTCGATGTAAGAGCCGCCCCATACCAGACATGTGCCGCATATAGTACAGCCGATTGAATAACAGGTAGGGCTTCCCTTCTCTCGGGTTTGAGTTACATAATTTTAGATATGGTCATACCTATATATATAGTGCAATCTTCTTCACGGTGTTTTTCAGATTTATTCCTACTCTTCAATACTTAAACGTTAGAGATGCTTAAAGACGGCAACTAGACTGTGTAGACAAATAGTGTGTAAATTGATGTTTTTTCTAAATCTAAAGATAGTGCCCTACCCAATTTTTAAAATAGGCAACTACTTTGCATATATTTATGTTTTGTATCACTTAACATCGAATCCAACTAAGTGAGGAGAAACTGTATTAGACAGTACTTTTTGATCATTAAGTGGAGTTCGAAATCACACCATTCGACACTAAGGGCATATACATTCACCTCTGAGCTACCTAGGCCGCAATCGACCTAAAACAACCTTTGGATAGCAATTATTGTATTGCTTGACAAATTTCCTTTTTTCTTTAACCTTCTTCTCTGTAATAACAAAGCGAAACGGCTACTTAGAGACAAAATGAGACAAATGTTAAGGTTTGATAGTTTTATGATGTTACTATTCACTGAATAAACGATTAACTTATAGTTTTTGATATTTACCTATTACTTTCTGTATTTGACTTACGAATTAATATTTTTTGTAGGCGCTGACAGCTTAGAATATTTATCTTTGGAAGGTTTGATCAAGGCTGTGAGATCAGACATAAAAACTAAAAACGCCCACTCTAAAGTAGGACACTGCACAGCATGTTTGTCTGGAATATACCCAGGAGGTGTGCCAAATACGAACTCTGATTATGACTGGTAGTGAATAAAGTGAAAAAAAAATTGTAGGTTTTATGTTGTGTAATTTATGATTGGGGATGTAAATTAACAGGAGGGTACGTAATTCGGCAAGATCGAGTGGTGATTTGATTTACAGTCATGAATTCACTCATGATTTGTTATAAGCTCAATGCTGGTTTTTAATTATTACACGTTATTTATAAAAATATACAATTTTAGGCTCTCTTTAGACATGTATTGGATTAGTAAATCGGTTTATTCCATTTGAATATATGTATCTAATAGACACCTCTTTATTGAAGTAGCACAAACGTCCTTAAAATTTATATATAATAAGTTATTTTAATTTTTACCATTAGTTTAGATAGAATGTAAACAATTTATAAAATACACACTATTTAATTGTTGAATTAGACATATACCTACAAATGACCGGTGTAAAATGTTTCTATGTACTGGCACAGAATAATAAACAATTGTATATTATTCTGTGGTAATGCGTTACAGACGCCATACCGCTGCAACTTACATTACAGCAAATCTAAGACGCATTTTTATACGAACTTGGGTTTATATAAATATGTATTGTAGAATTGTTGGTACAGCAATTGGGTTGAAAGCGTATGAGGTCTTTAAGTGACAGAGAATATGACAATATGTGACTTAACTGAAGATAAGCACTGCCTTTGTGCTTTGAGTGTTTAACAAATTTTAACATTTAATGATAATAACATTATTCACCTAAATCAACAATTAAATTGAAGTGGATGTGCTAAAACCTCGTTTAAACTAAGCATATAGACAATGTACAAAGCTTTCTAACGTTTCCTTGTAAATTGTAAACGTGAATCTTTTGATAAAAGAACATAATTTATTTTCCGTATATTTATACGTTTTTGTATATTTATTTTTTAAATAAATATTTATATTTTTGACACTTTATTTTTTCTTTATCCTTTCACTCGATAGAGGTCAGTATCGCATAGGGTGCAGATAAAAGTATGCACACGGTTTCCAGACACACAAATATATTACCTTAAATCACGCATGCAATAATCAGTATATTAGACAGCATATACAATAAAAGCAATGTAAGATGTATAGGAAAAATAGGGAGAGTATTATTCATAGCCCGGAGGATATGACTGAATTATTGAAAAATCATTTTCCAGATGTAACATGTACATCTTTGTCTTCCAAAGATCCAAATCTTTACGCATCATTTAATCTCCTCGCGCCCAAACATCAATTGCAGTGATTTTCTTGTTGCCAATCAAAAAATAATGTGACAATTGGGATTCTAATATAAAAAAAAACCTTTTGGTTTTTTCAAAAATTGTACTATCACTAGTGACACTTTGGGTCTGGACTGACAATAAAAATATTAATATTCACTTATCATTTTATTGATGAAATTTAGTAAACAATTTCTATTAAACTTTGATCAAATAAAAGGCCAAGTATTGAACACAGTTTAATTAATTTAATCTTGCCCAAGTACTTTCGCTCCCTAGAGCATCTTCAGGGGCATTTCGTCAATTGTGGCCTATTTGATTAAAGTTCATTTATTCGAGCATTCAACCTTATATCAATTTCTACTGATACTACAACATAATAAAAATCTTGCACCGGACACATTTGAAATAAGGTCTGGTATGTGGGCACAAGAATTCCTGCTTTTTGATCTTAATTTTTGGCTTTCGTAATGAATTCTTGGAGGTGTTTAGCTTCTTTGATCGTAGCGTTTATCATGGATTGGTGCAGTCTTTCTTCTTTTTCTGGTTAATTTTCACTTTCTTCGGATGTGGGTTTCAACTTCGTTCTTGGTAGTACAAGAGCGACCTAGCAAGCAAAACTTAAATGACAGCTAATCTTGAATGTTTTTTGGTAGTTGCTGTAGCTAAACAATGTTTTCTGGTATTGTAGCCAACTAGCTGCAGAACAAAAATCAATAAAGGCGCTAATACATCGTATATGTCCATTTATTTGTTCTACTGCTCATAAGATATTTGGATATAATCCTATCTGCAAATCTACTCCGCCCATGCTTTTATTGTAGTGTTTAATCACTGCTGACGATATATTTATACGTATTTTTTATCTTTTACTGACCAGGCGCCTACTAAATCCCAAGGGCTTCGCTTCAAATTGCTGATTGAGCCATTTAGATTGGTTTGGAATCAATCATTTTGTACAGCTATTTTGTTGTCTTTGTTAAAGAGCATATCGTGGGTGCCTCTTCCTGATTTTCTTTCATCTTTATCGGTATTAATTGTCACATAAGTTTTTGGTATTCTATTTTTCATTAGTGTTCCTGTTACATAAAGCTTCGTGAATGTAATTACATCATCAATATTTTTGGCGTAAAATATCGTCAACAATAATAGATAGGTACTTCCTACTGGCAGAGTATCTGTAAAGGTTTTAAAAAAACCTTCCCGATATCAGCTAGTTCATGGTTGTTAAGTACCAAGCTGGATTCAATAATTCTGCCTTTCACCTTCATACATGTGAAATCTCCCCGTAGTCGTCATGACAAAATGCTTCAATCCTACAGGGTTAGGTTTTCCTCGCACAAACTATCTCATTAAAATTTTTCCATGAAAGGGAATCATTTGCTCATAGATTGACACTTTTTCAGTTCTTTTATTATTCAGACAAGCCCTTACTTTCAGAATCTATTATTTCGATTTCTTGACATGTTGTCTGAAACTATTGGTTACCTGGTATCAATTTGAAAAATGATTCGGATTCGTGGTAAATTATAAATACCAGTATGCAATAAACGTTTTTAATTCTTCTGCAGATATCTCAAAAGATTTTCCAGTTTTTTTTTTTAAATCCTTCATATTTTTGTTATAACGCATGGATGCAAAAAAATTGTTGTCGATGTATTTTATGAAGTAGAGTCATTGATCTTGAAATTTTCGGGAATCAAGGGATCTTGGCACAGGGGTTGATATTGGGCAAATTGTGGTGTGTGTTAACATGTGTTCTGTTCCATTCTTTCATGTTACTCTCCTTTAGAAGCCGGGTTGCCAAGAGCATGTCATCATCCGAATCGTCGTATGATATGTCACTGATTTCAGCGTGATCGTCACTCCTTTCTCCCTCACTTTCAATAATCATTTCATTCTCATCCAGATCTCTAAGTTCATCCCATTCATCATCACTGTCAGGAAAAAGAGAAGGATCCAAATCAGAGTCATCTAAATTCACATTATCTGCGATTTTCTGAATTTTTCAGAATAATTTTAGGAATTATAATAATTTTATAGACCAGGAAATTAAAGTGTCTTTGTTCCAAGTTTATTTCAGCTACTACAGCTTCTCCTTGGTTAGCCGAGACTTTGAGTTTATTGTAATATTACATTGTATAAGTAGAAATAAAAACACATAAAAAATCAACAAAAATATATTTCCACAAAGTACAAATATATACAATTACAAAAATCATAAAACATTACAAAAATTCATTGGTTTTCGCTTGCTAGCCTTTCTATTTCATCTATATGCTTCGGACATTTTCGGCTTAATACAACAGGACCGTTCTCTGTGATTAAAATGTCATCTTCTATCCTTACACCAATACCCCTGTACTTTTTTGGCAGCAATTTGTTATTTTCATTTACGTAAATTCCTAAAAATAAGCCAATTATTAATCGAGATCTTATCGCTCAATGGAAGTTCTTCGTTTGGTATCCACATATTTCTAGACGTGGATAGCCTATATCCGGAGTGTCTATATCCTAGATCTACCAATTATTATGTTGAATTACTTACCTGGTTCTATCGTAATGATCATACCAGGCTCGATTTGAACATTTCTCGTTACTGTAGGAGTATCATGAATATCCATTCCTAAATAATGGGAGACGTGATGAGGACACAATTGGTACGCTGCCTAGAAAAATGTATTTATTTTTAAACAGAATAACCCTTTCTTACAAGAGGTGCTTATAAAAATTGCTAACCTATGTCTCGAAGTTACAAAAAAAAAATAAAACAAACATTAAAAATATGAAAGAAAATATTTATGAAGTTAAAATTACTTGCTTTAATTTAATTTAAATTAGATTAGGCGTTTCTAGGCTTTTGTTTTGTCTTTTTAAAATGTTCCTACGACATAAATTCGAAAGTATTGCATACAGTAGAACTGCGATACAAGTGGAGATATCAATAAAGGTAAAATATACAGGGTGGTGTATTTAAAAAGTGACTAATGACATCAGGAAAATGTTAAATATGGCAACATCGCAAACATTAAATTTGAAATCTCCATATTGTAGAATAGGTGTACTCCGGTTTTTTTATAATTCGCACCATCAATTTATGAGTTAATTAGGTGTTTCCAGACTTTTGGCCCACTCTGTATACATATATATTTCAAAAGAATTAAAATTATTATCAATGATGTCTTACTTTCATCAAAAACGAATCTGATGGCTGAGCTCCTAATAATCCCACTTCCTGTAATCGTTTTCCCAATAAATAACACATACTTTCAAACAATGCATCGAGAGATGGAAACTTATTGCACATTGCTATTAGTTCGTTATTTACGTCATAAACTACTTCGTATATCTGACGCTGTTCTTTTGAAAATTTTCCACTAATTGGCCAAGTTCTTGTAACGTCACTAGAGTATCCATGATATTCACAACCTAAAACAGCGATTGTATATTATATGTATATTTAATGGGCGTAAAGGACAATTTTAATTGAAAATATGTTATAATTGATCTTTCATTTTCCACCTCGGAAACAATTCTCAAAATACAAGTTAAATTGGTCTCAAGCAATAAATGTTTAAAACTAACCATGATGACTGTTCAATTTTTCACATGTGAAAAAACATGTCGTTACTCGCTTTATTACTTTCTATCATTGTTCACCTCAATTATAAAATTATTACCCTACTCCAACCCTTTTCTGCTCCCACTTTAACCCCACCCCTGTAGAAATACAGACAGTTTGAAAATAGCAAAATAGAAGACTCTCTCTCGTCTGCTGAGTTTCGTTAGCAGCAGACATACCATCTCTTCCCTTTTGAGTATCGCTAGCGACAGACGTCCTCTCTCTTGCCTGTGGACTATCGCTAGCAAGAGACATATTCTCTCTACTGTTGACTGCCGCTAGCAACAAACAATCTCTCTCTCTCTCTCTCTCTCTCTCTTTGCTTATAGTTACGCGAAAAATACCGCGAATCCTACCGCGAAAAATACAGACGCAAATGTGATCTATCTCGTGATCTGTGTTAGTACCGCGAGACACGTGTTGAGAAACAGGTAATGACAGCTTTCCCGTATGAAGAACTACCGCGAGTAAAAGCCTGTAAACACCGCGAGTATGTGCAGCACAGGATTGGTAAGACTTTTTATAAACTTGATTTGCTATTATCTGTATAACCCCTTACTACTTATCCTAATTTATTTAAACCAGCCCTATGTAATATAGTTCTCATACACTGAAATTATATTCATAATTTCATATATGTACACCCTTTTTTGTACAATGACAAACTAATTTTTGTTTGATATTAATATTACAGAAAAATGTAGCTTTAAATACAATCTTTCTTTTCGCTAAGTACATAAACATGAGTGTGATGTTGATAAAAGCACAATAACTAATTCTTACCTCCATCCATAAGTACCATCTCACCCGGATCTACTATTTGATTGTTATTGATATAGTGAATAGTTGTAGCTCTATTTCCTCCAGCTATAACTGGAGGGTAAGCTAGATAATCGGCTCCCCTGGTACGGCATTCATAGTCAAATTTTGCAAACAGTTGATTTTCACCAATACCTATACATATATACAATAAAAACATTAAAATATGAATAAAAATTTCCACTTACATGAGACATTATCTTAACTACTTTAGTGTTCATGTTTAATGATATGATACATACAGGGTGTGACATTAATGTGACGAAGTCCAATTACTTATTTATTGTAAGAGATATGAAAACAAATTATTTATGGTAATATATAAGAATTTTTTTCATAACAAATAAGTAATTGGATTTCCTTGCACTTATTTTATGGTACTATCTTAAGCCATCCTTATACCCAATTACTCTAATTTGTAAGTTATTCCTGATTCTTTCAACTAAAAATTAATTGCGACAACAATTAGATGAAATTTTATTAGGCCCTGAAAATATGCAAACAGAAGTAATTTTTTGAAAAAAATGCATAATTATCTAGACTCATTCCTAATTTTTTAATATTGAATGATATATTAAAATACCTAAGTAGTTACAATTGATGATATGTATCAATAAAAACATACAATATTCTCAAAGCACTTAAGGCAAACACAAATGAACCTCAACACAAAGTAGCCTGGTATAAATTTTGCACAAATGGAAAGTTTTTCTTTTTAAGGGATACTTCTAAATGGGAACTAATTAGCTTAGCAGAATCTTTTGAAAGTTGATGTTCTGATCAAAATAAACCTTGGCTTGTGTAAGCTTTTCCCATAAGAATTAACTTATATTTGTATGAAATGGTTGACATGTTGTGAAATAGCGAAGTGTCATGCACTTCCAAGATGAAAATGTTTAGGTTTTGATCAACTCTTGCACATTTTTAACTGCTATTTTTGTCAACACAACAATAGAATAACAACCACCTTTTTTGTCTTTAGTGTTACTGAGTTACAATTACATATAATTTTCAGAGTCCAAGAAGATGCACATTGAATATCATTGTATGGTGCAATATGTTGAAATTTAGTGAACTATTTTCTATTTAAAGAATGCTGTTTTTGTGATTAAATGATCTTTTGTTGCCCAGTACATGTTTTGGATTGTTCTAAATTGAAAAGACCATTTTATAAAGAAAGTAATTTTAGAAATATTCAGTAAAATTATAAAATTTTGTGACAATTATTTAGAGAAATTTGGATTTAAACGAAAATGTGCAAGCAATTATTATTTTACCTGGTCTTGAAACTGATATTGTGTCCATAAAAGCAATTGCTGTGATGTCACATGCCTTCTGCATCAAAGCTATTTCTACAGGACTCTTAAACAACCTCAATTTTTGTAGAAGTGGTTTCGGATTTTCCCACTGTTTATTACTTGTATCTTGCATGAAATTTTTTATAGAAGAATGAATATTTTTCTGTACTGGTGTTAGAAAATCATACCTAAAAATCACCAAACTATTAAAATTCAACATTAAAGAGGAGAAAATAAAATTTAATTTTGTTTTTTTATTTTAGCACACTGCTTTGTTGTTGTGAAACATAAAAGCAAATACTATATATACACCTCACATACTAAATAAATACCTACGGTTAGGTTAGGTTAGGTTAGGCACAGCTTGAGGATATTTTGATACAATCATTTTTGGAAAGATACAACACAAAAATTCCTATCATACATCATCCACAAAAAAGATTGCATGAATAAGAGTTGCAGTGGATTAAAAAGATGAAACTTGCTTATACAGATAACTGTTAAAGCTATGAAGCTTCTCACTAACAATTCCACCAATGAACTAGTAACGAATTGGATAGCTCATGCTCTTATTTAATTATGTTACTTTCTATTTTACATCAAACAAACTGCTTACCATAAATTTAGCTGTTTCTGAGATTTCTGGTAAGAATATATATACTTTTCAAACTCACTAATGGATAGACTTTCACTGACACCAAAAAAATTAGTAGCATCTTCTGGATGTGTTCTAGGCCCATCCCAGAGTTCTGCATGATCATCTTTGTCCCTGGTAAATAGTACCGTGGAATACTTTCCTCTTTCATCAATAGTTATTACTAAACAACAGTCAGGTTCCAAGCAGCCAGTCAAATAGAGGAATTCTGTATTTTGGCGGAAGACATATGGTATTTTATCAGACATGTACTGTTTTGAAGCAGCTGGTATAATCACCTACAATGCAATTTTACAGTTGTTGACACAAAATAAATTTATCCAATAATTTACCATGTGATTCTTTGTTTTTAAACTATTATTTACTGAAAACTTTGTTAGAGAATCTATAAACTTAGATCTTCTAGTTTGGTACTCATATTTGGTGATCATTGGAGTTACTTCTCCTTCATTCATAATATGTGGATGGGTATCATAAGTTGGTTGTCCCAGTACTTTCTTGGTGCATTTATTAACATCTTTACCTAATCTTGTAGCTTGGTTGCAGAAGCTTCTAAGACCTGAAATATAAACTAATAATAAAAGAAAATATAGATCAAATACAGACTTACCGTTTTTTAAGGACAACGATGATAATGAAAGCAATACACACATAGTTTAATTTAATATCACAGCACAGTTTTAGAAAAAAATGTTATGTTTATGATTTATACATTTTGGATTTTAGGTTAGGGTTAGATATTTGCGACATTCAGATTGAGGTAGACAACACAAAACGCATAACAATCATAAAACATAAAATACATTTTGTTTGTTATTACAAAAACAAATTCGATTGTGAAACACTTGGTAAAAGTACAAAAAAGGTAAAAGCTTTTCACAAGGCGGGATTTTAAATTATGTAAATATTCACTCAGTTTTGAAATAACACAATGACACTTTCCAATGATGAGTATTCTTTAAAATGGGGTACATTTCTCTAGTTTATGCAGTTGCGTCTAAAAGAATCTAGAAGGCTGGAAATACTAATGAATCAAAGCATATTCATGCTGGGGCCGAAAGAGAATTTATTCAGGAGGAAGAAACGCCACATGGACAATAATCTAAACATCTAAAAACTTAAGGGACCAAGTTTTAAAGTTGGAAGCTGTTCTTTTTATAGATCTGGCCTATGTAGTCAGGAGCAATCCTTACATTCTCCATAGGAAATTTATTGGTTTTTATGTAGGGCTCAGGACTTTTTGGAGTTTAATGAAAATACATGGTTTTGTACTATAAACGTCTTCCGATCTAGTGCCAAGGTGTGTCTTGCCTCAGGTAACGCGAAGGTTTTCCCGATGGTACGTATATGTGTGCCAAAAAATAGAAGATGGGATTATAAAGTAATGCATGGAATGAAACAAAATATGAGATGAAAGAAAGACGGAGGACAGACTTTGACAAATTTGGAGAACAGCGAAATTAATATATCTCTGTTGTCGTTACCGCATTACTGAGTACCCTGATTTTCCCTAATAGACTACAAGCACATAGGGGGTCATTTGACCCAACATTAAGTATATATAAATCAATACTACAATATGTAATAACAACTTTATAAACTATGTCGCCAATTCTTATCGGTACTCAAAGCATCGGAGTTCAAATAAAGGGTTGCGACTTTTATTTATCACCCCTGTCCCATCCCAAAATGTAATGGGGAAACATTTTTCTGAAAATCAAAGATTGTCCCTGCTACTGGTACCAATAATTTTGTACTGCATTAGAACTCATATTTACAAGGATAGGTCAATGATTTTACCAACTAACGCCACCAAATTCATTTTAATAGTCCGCGAAACATATTATTATTGGCACCTAAAATTATCTAGACTTTTCGATAAGTTCTCGCAGGGTCAGTATTTGTTTTTTATTTTTCCTTGTACAAAACCTTATGTAAGCTCACTCATTTACTTTTAAGTTTTTACTTTTAGTCGAACACTTGAAAAACCAGGTGTTTAATGATAAGGTAAAAATGAAATATTAGGTACATGTAAACAATAACCACTTACAAATACTTCCTAAATCATTAGGAAAAACAGATTAATTAGAATAGATTAGATACCTGCGTAATGATTTACTAATCGGATTGAATTAATTCTCCCGTATTACTTATTTTTCGGTAAAATTACGTAAATAAGTAATTAGGTCTTTCCAATATCTGTAAAAATATATTAAGTTCTCTAAAAATAATAATATTAGTAAAAATTATTTGTATAATTTTTTCAATGGCAAATAATTTAATAAAAATTCAAATCATCATCATAAGGGGCTTGACAATCCGTTGTAGATCTTGGCCTGCTCACAAAAAAGTCGCTACTCCTGTCGATTCCTGGCAACTTTCCTCCATCTTCTGACCCTAGGTCTTCTTCCACCTCATCAATCCATCTCCTTCGTGGTCGTCCTCTACGTATTGGGTTCTCTGGTTTTAAAAATGTTAATCCCTTCGTGTATTCGTGATCTGACATCCTAGCAATGTGTCGAGCCCCTTAAGTCTTTGCACTTTAACGGATTTCACAATATCTGGATTGGTGTATAACTGATATACTTAGCTCAAAGTTGTATTTTCGATGTCATAGCCCATTTCCGGCTCCAAAAATCTTTCTAAGAAGTTTTCTCTCAAAAATACCAACAAGTCTTTCATCATTTTGAAATAATAAGTCCACGTTTCAGCCCCATATATCAAAACCGGTCTTATTAAGGTCTTGTATATTTTGAGCTTTACTGCACGTGTTATATTTTTATTTTTAAACTTAAGAGGTTGCTGGTTAAATGATATTAGATAAATAATAATGAAGAAAAAATGCAATATTTTGTTTGTAAATAAACTAGCGGAAAATAGCAACTATCAATTGTCAATAAATTACAAAATTAACTGGTCTTACTCATTATTGTTGTCTGTACAAAGAATGTAGACTTACCCTTTGGTTCTATTGATGTATTCGTAACAGGCTGAAGAGTTGGTCGCGATGCATCACGACGCCGAGGCTAATAACACGAGACCGATCAATGGTGCGTTTCGTTCGCTGTCTTAGGGTGAAGTCAGAAAAGAACCCTCTGGCCACACTTCGAAGCGGTTGGTAGGAAGAGGGTACATCACTCTATTGTATTGTGATTTTGAATGCGATAATTTAAGCTAATTGTCACGGTAATACGAAACTTTACACTTGTTTCTATTTATGTGACCCGAAATACAAAAGAGAAAGCCAAATTCCCCGTACTTAAAACATAATAAATGAGATAGCCAGTTTAAGTTTTACGAAATAACAGGAAGCAATATATTTTAACAAAGTCGTTAAAATACAACATTGAATTAGATCACATTACAGTATCGGAACATAAAAATATTAAATGTAAAAATATGAAACAAAATAATACATACTTTCCCAAACACTATTGCTATGCATCTTTTTTTCGTCGTTTGTCATGTTTATTCACGAAATTGGGTTGAAAATTTTTCAAGGTATCAACGGGATGATGTTAAGGTAGTAAAATGTTTGATATATCTAAGGCAAACCCTTAGGCAGGAGATAAAAGATTTAATAATTTAATCATATAGTTAATAAAACCATTATTAGAATAGTATGTTATAGATGTGAGAAATGGATTCCAGAAGAAAAAAGTTAAAAGTTTTTAAAACGAAAATTTTAAAGGTCTTTGAACCGAGCCATGACATTTACCAACTGTTCAAAAAACACTTGAGTCTCTTAGAATTCATTAGGCTCCAAAAACTTCAATGGCTTGGTCATGTAGTGAAGATGGATGATGACAGTTTGCCAAAAAGAGCCTTAAGCAATATAATACTAGGCAAAAGAGTAAATACCACAGAGAAGAGTGGAGAGACAAGTGGTTGTGAATGCACAAAAGCTGATGGGCATCAAAACTAGGTGGAAATATAATAATTAGCTATCATCAAGTGTCTTGTATTAAACAGGTTTACAATTATATTATGCTTAATATCTTTGACAATCAATTTCATTCATATGCAACCTGAAAAATTAGATTACAAGCTTGAAACAAAGTAAAATGTTTAATATTTTTATTTATTATGTGTATAATTATACACTAAAATAAATATATTTGTATATATTTATCTTTGTGTATATTTATAAATAATACACTAAATTTGTAAACACAAAATACACATTTATCTTGTTTGCTATTTTAATTGTTCTCAAGGTTCACTTGACAAACAAAAAACAATTACAATAAAATGTTTCTTAAACAGTCTATGATAAAATAAAAAAAAAACAATACATATGATGAATCTCACAGTATTTCACATTAACCTTTAATTAAACTATAAATGTGAAATCTTCAGTTTTACATTTGACAACTTTGCATGAAGCTTCGTAAAGAGATTTGCAAGCTGTTAAGTCATTGACGATATATCAATATATCAGCCTTGGCTCATTTTAATGGTAAACTAGACCTCAATTTTGGAAAGAATTCTTCACTTCCAGTTGCATTTGCAGATAGTAAACTAGCCTTAACAATGTTTACTAAATATATGGCACAGCTTCACAATGGTACGAAAATAACATTCAATTCTGTATCACCTGGTTTAGTACTGAACACAAGTCAAATATCAAATTATTCTAATTTAGGAACTTCTTTTTTAACGAAATTTGCTGTTCCGGTTTGGCTGTGGTAATTTTTGAAAACGCCCTACCAGGGTAGCCAAACTGTCATTTATCTTGGTGTGGAACCCAAATTACACAGAGTATCAGGCTGCTGCTTTAGCGACCGTGAAATTAGAGAGCCCACAGATATCGTCAACGACTTTAATTAAACATTATTAAAGTTTGATTTATCTATCACAGTTTTATTTATATTTATCACATTTATTTGGCTACATGTTAAACTATTTTTTCATTGGTTTATCATGTTCCTACAATGCATTTTTTGAGGGTTAAACATTTTTATTTATTTATTTTAAATACTCTAATATTTTTGCTATTAGTTTTTTATATATTCCTTTAAGGATCCATAAATTATTTGTATTAACTTTGTCTCTAACATATACCAGGTGATTTTAAATTATTTTTGTGATTCCTCCAAAATTGGTCTTCAGAAGACAGTTTTATTTTTAAATTGCATTGTAATGAATATTATATTACACATAATTGAAACAAAAACAAGGCCAACTATGTGATCAAAACAATTTTAATAATCTCAATAATATAACTATTGACACCATAAATCATTTACAAATTAAACATATAAAAATATATCTATATAAAATAACTTTAGAACTGGCTGAAAATTTTAGCTTCTTGCATCATTAACAGTACTTGGAACTCTTACTTCTAAACCATCTAGACTTTCTGTCAATATAATTTGACAACCTAATCTGGAAGTATCTGTTAGGTCGTAAGCTAAGTCCAGCATATCTAGCTCCTCATCAGTTGCTTTTTTTGGTAGGGAATCAAAGTCTTCTTGCTTAAAAATGAGGTGGCAAGTTGAACAGGTCAAGGTACCTTCACATGCCCCAAAACCATCTATATCTATGTTATTATTTAATACAACATCCAGTAGGTTATCACCCACCTTTCCCTTGGCTTTTATCTTATCTCCATTAGCTTTTATAAATGTAACCTCCACTCTGAAATTAAAAAAAGATTATCAATTAAAATTATCTACCTACAGCATTTTAATTAGATGCATTCCTATACTATCAGATAAAGATTGGTTGATATCATTAACTCAGTTTACTTTGTAATAATTTTAGTATTAAATATATTATCTGAATATTTTGAATATAAATTAAAAATCACAAAATTCTGGTCCTTCTTATGTATTTATTTTACCACGCTGAAATTTATTTACCACCCTTTTTAACATAAAACCAAAGAATATAGACGCTAAACATCTATATTCTTTGATAAAACATTACAAATAGAACATGATACATACACACATGAAACTTTTGGGATAAACTAGTAAATCTAAAGAAGACATTAAAATGATTAGATACAGAATACTGCAATATATAACAGAATTAAGTAATTTATGTAAAAACATAATAGAAATGTGTACTTACTGTTTTTTACTTAATTCTGGTTGTCCTACAGATAGCAGCCTTACATTGTTTTTAATTACATGTCTATTTAAATATCTTGTCAAGATCGCACTTTTCTTTAAAAACGCATTAAGAGCCATTTGGGGAGTTGTATATTATTTTACTGATTATATCAAATCTCAAACAATTAGGTGGAACATAATAACACGACTGTTATGTAACTATATTTGTAAATTATGACGCTATATGTTGTAACCACAAAATAAAAGTAAAATTACTTAATACTCTCACCAAATTAACTTTCTCTTACTTTGAAGATTCACGGAGATAAACTGACGAGACGAGTGTGTGTTACATTCTTTTCTATTTATAATTTATTTTGATTTAATTTTAATGACATCACCTTTGTGTTTGAGCAGTGTTGTTAACTCCAAAACTGAATATTTCCGTAAGAGGCGCTTCAAAAATCCGTAGAAATCCGTAGAAACAGAAACATAGCAATTTGTATGTGTGTCTCAGCCACAATGCCCACAATATGACGAACGACGATGCAACACTGACTGCATACATTGAGGGATCAATTCAATTGAAAATTTAAATGGAAAAAATGTATGCTACATGACTCGAGGTGTAGGGTGTTTCAATAATTTACTAAGTACATACTTGTTTATGCAACAAATTTATTTGACAAAATATATCTTAAACAGAAACATTCATATTCCAAAAAAATAAAAAACCAGATATAAAAAATATACAGAAAAATATACTAAATAAAAAATATACAGAAAAAACAAATACCTATCTAACCGAATAAAAGCAACAATTAATCTATTAAGCCTTATCCTCTTCCTCGGATGATGACAATACTTTTTTATGATCGTATAAAATTTTACTTTCCATATTAATAATGACATTTTTATCTATTGTTTAAATAAAATATGTTTTGTCTGCACCGTTAAAGTAGATCTCGTATTTATGTTAAGGCGGGGAGTCCCCAAGGTAAATCTCAGCATTCCATCTGAGATCACTGTTATTCCCCTAAGCGCCGGGGATTCACCTGTTACGAAAATTGAAATTCATCCCTACTCCTACTATTACACTACAAGTAGAGTTCTTTTTCACGGCATTACAGAGAACGAGGACTAGATGTCAATTCATTATTTGATTAATATTTCTATTTCTGTAAAAAGCTAAGAGTAAAAATTCTATTTTTATAAAAAGCTAAGAGTAAAAAATCCCAATTTTATTCTTGATTGCTTCAGCTGAAAAATCCGTAGAAATGTGATCGATATCCGAAAATCCTAAATAATTTCGAAAATCCGTAGATCTACAGATAAATCCGTAGAGTTAACAACACTGTGTTTGAGTTCTGTGTCATGTTTGAGTGGTCATTTTTTTTAATCTTCCTTGTCAAAAGTTACAGAACACCAAAAAAATTCATTATCACCAAAAATTCAAAGAATTCATCAAAACATCGACTTAGAATCGATTCTATCTCGATGCATCAAATCTTACCAATGACGTATAAATGTATTTTACATATAATTTATTGTACGTCATTCAAGCTTGTCCTTATGAACTATTAATACTGAGAAGTAGGAATTGTTATGTTGTAGGTTCCAAAAAAGAATCTGTCAAAATATGCCTCAGCTAAGCGAATGGAGTAACAATTTTTTAACGTCTATGGAAATTCAAGCCGGAATTTTTTTTAAACGATTTCCGAAATGGAAATCGAAACGTAATTACAATATAATAAAATGTAATTTTTAATACAATCAACTGTGGCTTAATCCCATATAAACACAATATTTACCTTGACATACGGCACGAACACTGTTCTGTTGTATTTAAATTTTTATGCGAATTTACTGACATGAACACATCCGGATATATGTCATCAGTATTGGTATCACTGGATAAAAATGTCAATTCAGTTGGCAAAATTACAAAGTGTCAACTGTCACTCTTTTTCTCAAGACAGCGAGTGCAGTGCACGTGTTGACTAAAACTAGGTATATTTTTTTATTAAATTTTATTATAAACTAGTAAATTATAGCAGAAAGTTTTAGTATTTTCGTGCATTATTTGTTTAAGGTTCCAATAAGTAACCCACAGCAATGGCCAAGCGTACAAAGAAGGTCGGAATCACTGGTAAATACGGTACCCGTTATGGTGCTTCCTTGCGTAAAATGGTGAAAAAAATGGAAATCACCCAACACGCCAAATACTCCTGCAGCTTTTGCGGCAAAGAAGCCATGAAGAGGAGTTGTGTTGGAATCTGGTCCTGCAAAAGGTGTAAGAGGGTTGTTGCTGGAGGTGCATGGGTGTATTCAACGACAGCCGCTGCATCAGTTAGATCTGCTGTAAGGCGTCTTAGGGAAGTTAAAGAACAGTAATTTTGTAAGTTAAATACATTAATAAAAAAATAAAAACCATTTGTTTTAGTTTTATATTTGACAATCTCCTACCTTCCATAGTTTTAGGCCAATTATTAATATTGTTTCATATAAGGAAAGACCCAAATTGATTTAATAATCCTTCAGAATTACCAAAACCCCTTCAAATGAAGTTAACAAATTCAATCAACAAATTCAATATTGTCTTGCCAAATTTATATTCACAGTACATACACAAAAAAAAGACAATAGTATACAAGAGATAAAATAAAAAGAATTGCAAGGATATATGAACTGAATGGTGTTATGCAATAATAGTCTAAGCCACATATATATGGTTCAGAGTAAATGAGCATAATGTATCTACCTACTTTAAAAAATTCACTGATGGAGAAAGCTTTATTTTCACATTTTTATGTTTCAATAATTACGGGCTACCTTAAAAATATACAAAAGCAAAATAAGTAAAAACAGTTAATTGCAAAAATTAAAGCGTCTTAAGACAGTTTTTGCAAAATTGTAAAAAACAAGTTGGTCATTTTGCAATAACTGTATAATCCTCGGAAATGGTAAATACATAGAAAACAACTTCGTTCATTACTAATAGTAAATAACTGTTGCTGATTGAATTCCTGCTTGATCAATCTCAAAATCAGGATTTAACCCAAATCTTATACAAAAATCCATGGCATGGCATCTTGGGGAATTAACTTGGACAAATCTTTTAGGTCCTTTATTTTTTAGCAGACAAGTGGCTTGCCATTTGGCCAAAAGGAAGGCAACTCTACATTCTTTAAAACAGGTTTTCTACCTTTACCTGGTTTTCAAAATTTAACTCCGAAAATTGTTGATCTCACATGTTTTTTAATGTACAAAACTGTATGACTTTCCTTTGTAATATGTATTACATGTGTTTTTAGAGCCAATTAATAACATCCTTATATTAACACTAGCTTAGATATTCTTGTCTGCCCCCCAACAGTAATCACACCATAGAATTAATTTCTGTACAGATGCTTTATATTTTCATTAATACATTTACACAGACATGAACTGACTTCTTGTGTTCCCTGCCTGCCTCTTGCCCTGTAAGTAAATTTAATTGTCTTATGTAAAATGCGACTCTAGTCATTATTTTTGGTAAGAAGAGTTTCTTGGAGATCAAAAATCATGGTCGCGGTGTTTCATCCTCTTGCGCGCATATAGATCAGCCTTCATTTAGTCCTTAACTCATGTGCAATTACTGTTTAAATGGAATAAGCACTATTAAAGGTTAAGGTATGTTTATTGACATTTCAATTCCACTTCGGAAATCGTTCTCAAAATACAAACAGTAAATTAAACAAATTTTGTTTAATTTACTAATGTTTAATATAATTTTAATTTTTTCCGAAGTGGAAATTGAGAACGCCAATAAATTGTACTTTAACCTTGAATTGAGGCTTATTCCCAATTAAATAGTAATTACTTTTAAATGCCACGAGAAATAGATGCAGAACAATATTAAGAAACTCATGTTGCAATTCCAAGATGTTTCCTGATGATTTCTTTCTAGATTCTCCTTTATTTTACTCTATTTGCATCTTAATATTTCAATTCTTTCTTTATTAATAGTATTTTTTCCACCATTATTTATTCCCCTTTTATCTTTAATATTACTTTTTATTTGATCTAAGGCTACACAGATTCTATTATGGTGATCTGAAGTGGGTTCTTGCGAAACATATTTTCGGTTACAGTTTGCAAACTTTTTTCTGTCTGGTCTGATTGATTTAGTGTTTTTCTTGATCTTCCGCGTTTCTTTATGCCCTCAGTTTTTGTTATATTTAAATACATTTTCATATCCTCTTGGCCTCTCGTTTCTTCTGCAGAACCAGTTTCCTCGGATTCAGGAAAATATTCAATGCCACAGGACTGGTTATGGCTTATCAAAACCATTTCAGCAGATATATTTACTGAGTACTACAGGAATACTTGTTTCTTGTTCTCGAGGATCAGTGGTCAATGCTTGTTGAAATTTTTGAATCCCTGGTTCGCTACTAGCTTTCCTCTTGAAATATCCATTCTCTAAAATAAAATATAGTATTAGGCACTCACCTAAAACATCCACTTTTAGGGTATCCAGCCTAGAGTCTTTTCCAGTTCCTCAGAAAAGCTACCCCAAATGGCTTTCTTTAGATTCCAACGTGGGCGAGGGATGGATGTGATTATAGGAATCTAGGTTCTCGCCTCTAAGATCACTGGACGGTGTTGGCTTGGTGGGAAGTCGTCCATTACTTTTCGAGAGGTTGCCGTTTTTTTAGTAGAGACAAAACATAGGTCAGGATTGTACTCCTTTTTCCATGCTGCTGACATGAATGTAGGTCGGTCTTTGGCGTCAACTTTAGTGATAGATGTTGCTTCCTCCGCCCATTTTACTAGTGCATTTCCATTGCTGATTGCATTTTTTATATTTCCACTGCTCATGGCGACTGTTGTAGTCTCCCACATATATTGAGGGTGCAGATGTGTGTCGATGACTTGAGCTGGCCAGGATATAGCCAGTGGTTTGTAGGTGTTAGTAACAGTGATGGAAGATGAACTATAAACCAATTTGCTGCAGTGCAACAGTTTATAACAACAAACAGCTTCTGAAAAAAAGATCTCAAAAATTTTCGCACACATCTGGACGTCGAGAGTAGTAAAACTTTTTGCATTTTTTTATATAGATGTTCATTCAGAGCTTTTTTATGTTTTCTAAGAGGTTCTTCGGAATGACTCCAAATAATAGAGAGAATAATGGGTATTGTCCGAGTACTTGTACTCGATTGTGTTTCTATTGATTCGTCTGTACTTGGGCTTCATATTCCTGTCTAAGGGATGGCATCATAATTATCCATTAGTGGAATTGAAAATTATATTATTATATTATAAATTAATTTAAAAAAAGATTTAAAATACACTGAGGTGCAAAATTAAATAAACACATAGATTTTTCAAAAAAACTGGCGTTTAAAAAAGTTTAAGATGTTCCAATTGGTTATATATAATTAAACAAAATTTAAAAGTCAAATTTATTACAACTCAAGAATGTTATACAGAAAAAAACAATAAACAATTCAAAAAATTTGAAAATGTGCAAAGAAACATTTTTTTTTAATATAAACATTTTTTATGGAAAACGATATTTAGTAGAGTGTATTACCTCCACGAATCCTAATTATAGCTCTCATTCGTTGAGGTATACTTCGGATTAAGGCAGCAAAGTCTGCTTGAGGGATTTGCTCCCATTCGTCACGAACTGTTTGCTCCAAATCATTCATGGTTTCAAACTCACCATGGTTACGTCGTCCAGAATATCCCATGCATGCTCTATTGAATTTAAGTCTGCACTTCTTGGAGACCATGGTAATAAACGAATCCAACTTCCTCCAAGTAATCCCGGTTTATTATTTTATATGTTTATTCTGGGCCTTATCCATATTCATTTAAGCATCTTCGAACGGTATAAACGAAAACTGTGTTTCTATGGACATGATTTAATCGTTGAACAAGTACTGGTGCTGATAATGTACGATCGCGTAACGCTTGTAACCCAACTTGGCTTGTGGTTCTTCGTCTACCTTGACCTGGCCTCCTGGTGTAGTGTTCTATTTCCGAAATATTTGTATTGCATTAAAGTCTGTACTTCGAGAAATTCCTAAAGCATTTGCGATGTAACGAATGCTCCGTCCACTATCCTGTAAAGCAACAGCTTGTGCTACTTCTTCTGGTGTCATATTTTTTTTAATGCAAGTTTTAAACAGGAGACAATACAAAAACCTACAACCGAACCTATAATCAGGTACAGTATCATCATCATCATTGGTGCTACAGCCCTATAAAAGAGCCTCGACCGTCCCAAGTCTATTACGCCAGTCAGTTCTATCCATTGCCAACTGTTGCCAGTTTGCTGCGCCTATTTTTCTACCATCCTCATCTACACCATCCTCCATCTGAGTTTTGGCCTACCCTACTTCTACTTCCCACAGGTTGTGACATAAGGATTCTTCTAGGAGGGTTGTTCTGCGGTGATCTTGCCAGATGTCCTGCCCATCTTAGTCTTCCTATTTTTATGAGAGATACTACGTCTTTACCACCAAATATATATTTATATCTGTGATATATCTCATAGTTGTACCTCCTTCTCCAAACACCATTTTCACAGATGCCACCGAATATTCTTCTCAGGATCCTTCGTTCAAATATAAGCAGGAGGTTTTCATCTGCCTTGGAAATGGTCCATGTCTCCGATCCATATGTCAACACTGGTTGTATAAGGGTTTTGTATATGGTTATTTTTGTTTTTTGGCTTAAGTTTCTGCTTCTCATATGTCTACTCAATCCAAAATAGCATTTGTTTGCTAGGATTATTCTTCGCTTGATTTCTTCCGTCATGACGTTCTCCTTGGTGATCAGGGAGCCTAAGTATGTAAATTTGTCCACCACTTCAAAGGTAGAGTTATCAACAGTGAATTGGTGGCCGATGTTTCTGGCTCTATTGTTGGGTGTTGATGCCATTATCTTAGTTTTCTCCTCATTTACTTGCAAGCCCATATTTTTTGAGGCATTTGACAAGGTGGTATACATTTCTTCTAGTTTGCGTGTTGTGCGGGCAACTAGGTCAACATCATCTGCATATGCCAAAATTTGGGATGATTTATTAAAAATGTTTCCTCTGTTGTCTATTTGGGCATCCCTGACCGCCTTTTCCAGAGCTATGTTGAAAAGGAGACACGCCAGCGCATCTCCCTGTCGCAGCCCAACATGCGTTTCAAATGCCTGTGATTGTTCGCCTGTATTTCGACTTTGCAAACAACTTTACGCATTGTAGCCTTAACCAATCTTATCAGTTTATCGGGATGTGAAATTCATCCATGGCTTCATACAATTTATTTCTTAGGACACTATCATAGGCCGATTTAAAATCTACGAAAAGATGGTATGTGTCGATATTGAATTCATTGGTTTTTTCCAG